TATTCTTTGGTTTCTTCTCTCATTCTTCATGCACTCTGCGCCCAGCATTTCGAGGCTTCGTAAAATAAAATTAATTTTCGGTGGAAGGTAAAAATCGCTAAAATTAATCGTCGCTAACTGGTCCAGTTTGCTAAAACGCTAAATTTAGCCGCCGCGAAAGTTTGTCGTTTTACAGTAATGTATATCAATTGCAGTGTAGCCTAGAGACCGTTAGAGAGAGTGTGTACAAGGTGTGTGTACAAGGTGTGTGTACAGGATGTATGGATTCAAGTATCTCAATCATATCGGGGATATTTCCAAAACAAAAAAATATGTAGGCCGAAGAGAAAACACCCAGCTGTCCACTGAAACAATAGCTGAAGCGCTCCAATTTGCGGTTCCAGAGTTATGTAGCTCGAAAGTCGAATCGCGGAAAATTTCCCTCAAAAGTCGCGTGCGCAGATTTGAATGAGGGTTTTCCCCATCATTCTGGGCATGCAGTGACATAGAAACACGTTCAAAATGGCAAACGGAATGTGGCAGTTTGTGAATTTTTTGAAATAACAATTAGTTGTTACGAGTTAAGAGAGCGAAAGGATCAGCCATTGCTGATACAAGACGACTTCTGTCGGAATATTAGCTTTGCAGCTAAGACGCTGGGCTGTAGCACTGGTGTTTTGACCTTAGGGCGCGCTCACACTGCGACCAAAACCAGCGTCCATGCGGCCATGCGGCCAAGTTGCATGGCAACGGCATGAACTTGACCAAAACGTCGCGGCCACGTTTCAAATCGTGACCGCGACCTCCCGAGGGGGGTGCCACGACTTGGCGGCAACATGATCGTAGACGTGAAGCATATTTGTGTACAACCTGGCCTGAAGTATGTTCAATTCCCAAATTTCGGTGTGTTGATTCATGAAACTCGGCGGTTCCGGCCGGTTATCGATGTCATCCCCGACATTTGCACATTTTCAAATTTTGTAGTTGTGGTCCTAGATCCTGCACGCATGCACCGCCATAAATGCATTTTTTGCCCTTTTTGGACTATGTCAATTTTGTTTTGTGGTTGCTTCGTTGTCAGTTGATCGGGTCAGTGACTCTACCGTGTACTCGTTCAATACGATGGCAGCTTGGTCTGGCTTTTCGGTTTGGGAAATCATCTTTCTCAACTTTTCTGCGATGATGGAATGCCATACCTCAAGACATTTCAATTTTTAGTTACATATCATCGGAATATACAGTTCTCATCTTGGCAACAGACAAAAGAAACCACTACCAGAATTTCCACTGCACTGGCACTTGCTCTGACCACGAGGTCAGGAAAGCGAAAGCGCTTGGATATCAGCGGGACAGCGGCAGCCGGCTAGCCCCTCAAGACTAACAAGAGTCCAAACCTATAATAACCAAAAAAACAGAGGACTCAATCATAACATGCCAGTCACACCCAGAAATAGGATACGTCTGCCTGCCCGACAGGTTTTAAAACTCTGTCCGCCCACCCAGAACACCAGCCACGCTCGCTGTCACACATGTGGGAAGAGATAACCCCTAAAAAACTCAAGTCACACAGCGCACCAACTTATGAAGCTGCGCTTGTAGCTCTTCATTGTACATGCGGCTGCGTGTGTAGCTCTTCATTGTACATGCTGCTGTGTTTGTGTGTCTTTGCCGTACATGCTGCTGAACCATGGTACATCCTGTTGCGCTGTCTTTGACTGCTTTGTACATGCGGCTGCACCGTCTTCTGTCCCCTCAGTATGCACTCTTTCTCGTCTACATGTTCCAGCAATAGGAATAACAAAAAGAATGATGTCCACTTGTCCTGTGGGGGCCTCTAGTTATCCTCGTAGAAGAGCAAATTGAAAGACAAACCACCAGTGTGAACAGGCGCGAGCACTCCACTCCAGTGCGTGATCCAGCGCGTGATGCAGCGATGTAGTGATGCAGGTAATCCAGCTAGACGCAACGCACAACCCAGCCCTAGCGCTAAGGATTAGACCAGACCTGGACCAGGACTTCATCCAATGGCAGGACACTGCCAACTCAGCCAACCTGAAGATATAACAGCAGCCCCAGTCAGCTCCAGACCAAACAGCAACCAAGCAACTCAGCAGCCAAGCGAGCTTCTTCCTCCAACCAGAGAATCCAAAAGTCCAACCAGCACCACCCAGCACCTGTCGCCATACAAATCCGTTTCTGGGTGCACTCACCCAATTTTTGGGACACTTTGCAAGTTCGATTGGAAATATAAGAGGAAGGGAGCATCTCGAATTCCTCGGACAAAAACCATTCAACTTTTAGAATACTGAGCACTACAACTGGTGAAGTTTTGAATTGGAATCGAGTAACTTCTGTGCTTTGTGTGCTGTAGTGTCTTCAGGTTGAAAGCTGACAATGGGCTCTTCTGAAACTGTCATTCTCCTCTCATTCATGTGCACACAACTTTGAAGAACAGTTGCTTATTCTGATCTCGAGAAGAGCTCATGAAGAGGGCCAAAAGCACTACCATGATTTAACTGTAGTAGCATGCTCACATTCATGCATCCAGTGGTGCAACTCGCACAGTCCGTGCGTAGTGGTGTACCCAGCGGCGAACCCCGCGCGCTGTGGAAACGACAAATGGGACCTCATAGAGGTCAAAAAGATCACATTGGTGTCAGTCATGGCTGACACAACTTGTTTTGTTTACAGGATATGGACGTGTTACGAAGTTGAGATCTCCCACCCCATTCATAGCCTCCGTAAGACTGACTGAAGTCGTTGAGACCATCCAGGTTTTCAAAAGCCACCAGAATGTGAGTTATACTGCATCATGTGCCAGATGCCTGTATTGTTTTCGTCGTTTGGCAGAGCTTACTGATGTCAAGCTCACTGACTTGTCAGTTTGACCACCATTGCACAGAACTTTCATGCCTTGTTAAAATCTGCCTTTCAAATATTATTTTCTTTGCTTTCAGGGTCATTGTCATTGATGAATCAGCAAAGGACAAAACAGTTCTGTATGTAGATTGAGCAGAGTATACGGGTGTATTTCACCTAGGTCGATTTTATTTTGCAGCAATGTGTGTCGACCGTGAAGAAATATTATAGATTGTTAACATTATTGTATCATGCATGTTTCCAGATTGACATAAATGCACTAGAGATCCTCATTTCTGAAACACACTTCTGGTTCAGAGTGGGGATACACATGTATGTGCATTGTATAGGTGGGTTGTTAGAGTGCATTCATATGCACTCTGACAAGTCTCGTCTGGAAGAGAATTGCTGAAAAATCCATGTATTTTCTTTGTCATTGCTGATTAATGTGAATTAGGCACAAGGAGAAAACAATAACCAGATCAAGAGGATGTCTCTCAGTTCACAGGTAAGCAATCGCTGAGAGCCTCACTGGCACAATGCCCATGTCACGTCTATAAATCCAGCTGAATTCTGACCGAAGACTCTAGCATATCAACCCTTTCCATGCTGCCCTGTTTTCCCCAACAAACTGGCACACCAGTGCATGGCTCAGGTTAGGAAAGGTCCAAGAGGGGCATAGCTCATGCTCTTCTTCGTTGCGCTTTCCTTCCCTTCTAAGACTTTTCCTAACCTGAGCCTTCCAAGTTGGCAGGTTGTTGGGTTGCACCTCGGAGAAGTGTTGGAGCTAGGTGTCAGGTCGTCGAATGTCTCAGTACTTGTCAGTTTTGTGCCATTTTGTTGCATTCACTGACTGTATAATTATGATCTGGTTACATTGGTGGACAGTTAGTCATAACTTGTAACATTTTGTTTTCTCCTACTTTTTTACAAAGAAAAGGGGGTTTGTCAACTGACAACCGCTCTATTCAATTGCTATTCACAATCACCGCATGCGCTGGATGAATAATTATTTATTCCTGTAGCTATGCAAAAGACGTTACTTCAGTAACGTCTGGTGCTAACCAGGGTCCACACAGCTTTAATTCCGTGTTTGTTTGTGCCATCGGCATGCCTGGCGCTACCCCGTACCTGTCCCGTACCAGCTGGTGAGCCAGCTGGATGCCCCCCACTCCGAAGCAAGGCCGATGGTGCGTTGAAGCTCTGGAGGTGCAGCAGAATGCAGAGCGATGGCCTCAGCATGGAGCGATGCCTTTGCCTTCGCCCTTATCTGCTGCTTGTTCTTTCACCTCGCCGAGCGTGGCAGTCTGCTGCTGAATGCACTGCACCAGGGGGCCAAAGATGGTCTTGGAGTAGGCGTACTGGCCCCGGGGGACGCAGGTGTGATTTATAGTGACTGCACAGTCACCAGCACACTCAGTTCATTACCACTCAGATGTCTCGTTTAGACAAAGAAGCATGAAACTGAAGATGAACAGTAAGATATCAATGCATGCCAGAGAGGCAAGGTGACCAGGCCATCAGGGGCACCAGGTAGGCCCAGTTAGGGTCACCAGGTCATGCACTCTGGATGTGCGGGTAACCCCATACGGGTACTGTGTTTACTAAATAAGGTGAGTGCATAAAGCATCACTACATCTACCTTCTGAGATAGAAGGCTAATACAAAGTATCACGTCCCAGGATAAGACAACTGCTGCCTGATAGTCCTGTCACAGCAGGATCTACGTAGTGAGCAGCTCTGTGCTGAGCTGTCACGCCCTTTTAGTGCAACGTGGTTTGGCCAGTGTCTTGTCCCACGTGCTTAGCATGTAGGTTGAGCGACACGCCCTTTCCCACGTAGGTGACATGCCTTTTTGGCATGACACATCATGTGATCCAAGGCCGGAACCTGGTCAGGTAGGTTCTCGCGTTGTACGTTTCCTGGAAGTGCTTCACTTCCTGGAAATGTGACTCCAGGCTTTGTGCAAAACCACGTCACTACGACGTTCTACAGGTTTCCACGATGCCTCGGCGCTTCGTGCAAAGAGCCAAGACTAATATGACATTATATAACAAGAGCTAAGTGCAAGACAGGAGACGTGTGCAAGAACCAAAACCGTCACCGCGCAAGAGGTCAGAGTATCACGCAAGCAAGATCAAGAATGCAGCAGAACTTACCATAAGAAGCCGCTGAACTACGGCACGTTGGGTGAGCGGGCTCCCCAACGTGACCCTCATATACTCACATTGCACTCTGACGTGGGTGAGCGGGCTCCCCACGTCCCAATTTGGTCTTTCTTCTCTCGATGTCTTTCTTTCTCTTTCTTCTCGAATGATCACCGTACGTATATTCTGCATTTCTGCTGACTGGCTGCTCACATTCCGGTTTGACTTGTTCTGCTATTTCCTGGAATTACCTCACAATGATCACTCCATATATCTCTGAAGCACCCTATAAAAGAAGCTCTCATTCTCTCTTTTACTTCAGTTTTAGTCTAGTCTAGTCTAGTCTAGTCTAGTCTAGCAGTCGAGACTCGGTCTCAGCTCTCTGTCTTCATTTACTTTGAGCTCGGATTTGATACTACTCACAACGTAAAACTAACAGTCTTTGTCTGTTGATCGTGTGGGGCTGAACTTGGACCAAGCTAGCTATATTGGTTGGCCCCTGGGTTGTGTTGGGCTTGTCGTGAGGCCACACGTCTATATTCAGTCGCCGCTCGTAGTGATTTCGGGGTCCGGTCACTGAGAGCCAGGGATGCGACAAATGTAACCTACAAGAAGAAAGAGAGAAAGGGAAAGGAGAAGAAAAAGGTAGGTGCAACAATACAATAATGTAGGTAATCAGAATGATACATATATAATAGCTTGTCTATGTACCCAGTAGGCGGTATACGTCAGCAGCAGAGAGTCAACACTCTTCGATGAGACGCCGCGCTGGCTGGCCACGATTGTGACGAATTGGTCGATCTGGCTCGGCTGCATTTGGCTCGGCATTACACACAGGGCCATCAGTGTCGACCGGTGGAGCTGATGGTTGCTGGATCAAATGGTGCCGATTCCTTCGAAGCGTTGCTCCCGAAGACCCGATGCGTACACGATACGAGCGGTCACGGAGCTGTTCCAGCACAGTGCCTTCCGCACCTGTGTCAGCTAGCCAAACCTTGTCTCCTGGTTGCAACGCAGGGAGGGGGCATGCTGCATGCCTCCGATCAAAGTCTGCTTTCTGAGGGTCTTGCTGATTTGCTTCTTTCTCAGCGACGGCGGTCAGATCAGGCCACTGCGGTTTGAGCTGCTCTGCAGTGACTGGCAGTGTTGTCCGGAGGTGGCGACCGAATAGAAGCTGAGCTGGTGCAAACCCGTTCGCTATTGGCGTAGCACGGTACACGAGGAGTGCGTCTGATAAGCTGATATTCTTCTCAAGCAGACCATTGGCGGTGCGTACAGCTCGTTCCGCTTCACCGTTAGATTGCGGGTACTGCGGGCCTGACGTTCGGTGTGTGAAACAATGCGATGTGGCAAAACTTCGGAATTCGGCACAATGGAATTGCGGCCCGTTGTCGGAGACCACTGTGTCTGGGATCCCGTGAACGGCAAATAGGCTGTGCAAGTGTGCAAGACACGAGCAGATGCGGTGGACGTCATGGGGATTACGTCTAGGTAGCGAGATAGGTAGTCGACGACGACAAGGTATGACTTTCCCCTGTGCTCCATGAGGTCACAGGCAATCATGCTCCAAGGCAGAGCTGGGCGTGGATCCCAGCTTGAGGGGCTCCCGGTGCTGTGTGCGGTGTTTGGTGCAGGTAGGGCATGTGGCATCCATGTGCTCAATCTGCTTGCTGAGGCCAGACCACCAGATGGAATCTTTGGCGCGTGCCTTGCATTTGGACACTCCCAGATGCCCGTCATGCAGGGAAGTGAGAACAGCAGAGCGCATGCTGGGTGGAATGACGATTACGATGCGTGGGCCATGGTAGACCACTCCGTCAACACACGACAACTGGTGTTCATGGTAGTACGACTGTATGTCCTGCTCGAGACCTTTCGCTGAGCTAGGCAATCCGGTGCGGATGTACTGCAGGACATGGTTCAGGACGGGGTCGGCAGCAGTGGCAGAGGCAATCTCCCGGGGCTTTCCGGATGATACGATGGCTTGAATGGAAGGCTTTCCGGATGATACGATGGCTTGAATAGAAGGCTTTCCGGATGATACGACGGCTTCAATGGAAGCCACAACGTTGATCGTATTCTCGGCATCGAGTGACGGTGTCTCCGTGCATGGCTCAGGTGATCGTGAAAGAGCATCAGTCCCAGTCTACCATGTCGACAGGGTAAAGCCTGTAGCTGTCGCTCATCATACGTTGGCCATGTCTCGCGACAGGAAGGACCATTTGCTTCCCGGGCAGTGAACAAATGCTGCATATGCAGCTTGGGGCTGCAACGAAGCAATAGTGCTGAGCGATATTTGTTTGTTTGTTTGTTTATTTTATTTTACTTCACCAAGTGAACAGGCATTTCCGCCTTCTCACCAGGTCCGGAGACCTAGGGTGCGTTTGGTTGGTACGATCTAGAACAGGATCGAGCAGCTGGTGCACATGGAGCAGCCTCATGCCAACCAAACGGTTCTCCAGAAACAGAGCATATTTTTGTGAAAAGTATGCCAAACTTGGTGCATTCTTCAAAACGTCTATGGGTCACCATGGTCACTGTGTACGGTACGAGTCCAACCCAAAAGCGTATGCACGTGATCATTTGGGACCAAAATCGATGTTCCTGCCAGGTTTCGCTGTGAAAAAGTGAAACTGCTCGGTCTCGGTCAAGCAGAACATGTTCTGGCCGACCCAGAACAGGTGCAGTCCCAACCAAACGAGCTGTTCTGGTGAATCCTGTTCTAGTTCGTACCAACCAAACGCGCCCCTAGTTCCGACAAAATGATGAAGAGTGAATGCAATTGTATGTATAAAATGATTAAAATCGTGCAGAAGGTTATATGAAAGCGGATAAAAAATGATTGAATCACGGGACGTGGAGCATGAATTTATGGAGTATGGACACAGAGCATGCAACCACTTAAATGAAAAAAATGATGGGTAAGATGATTAATGATTATGGACATGGTAGTACAGCGCTGGCAACTGAAATACGACCCCCCCCCCCCCCCCGCGCGGCTAGCGCACCGCTGGGGGGGGGGGGTCGGATTTCAGTTTCCAGCAGTGTAGATGACCTACTCTACCCAGGAGTGAACCTTGCGCTCCATAAAGCAGCAGGAGTATTCTGCTGAGCCAAGCGCGGCTCCGAGATGCCGACATCCATCTGTGCGAATGTCAATTCCAGTTCCAGCAAATGCGCTGGTGGCCTCATCCAGAAACTGTGGCTTGACAAAGAGGACAGACTTGGTTGGGTTGGTTGAGGAAATAGCCGTATGATGGACCACTCTCATTGAGGCGATCCCGCCAAATTCAGAATCATCCGCAAACCAAGACTGTGTGGCATCGTCTGTTGCTGCTTCTTTGATGAGGGGTAGAACACCAAAGGCATACATCACCATAGCGACCGGGTCGCCTTGGGTGGTACCTTGACTGGACTTGATACATTCAGCGCTCAGGAACAGATTGGCCGGCTCTCTGTATGTGTTGATGACTGTCGGAGCTAAGGACGAGCAGGTGTGTTGGATGTTCCGCATGCATACTTCTCTGTTCAGACAATTGAACACATTAGTTGCATCAGCCAGTAGGATGGCTTCCGTGTCATCCAGCTGATGGACGTCATTCATGGCGTGAATAGTTGCTTCCATACCTCCGTCCTGGCCAGCACATGGTTGGAGACTTCCAGCTGCACGTTGAATTTCGTCATTCGTGATGGAGAGGATGAGTGTGCTGGGCCCGGATGCATGCGGCTCTGTTGTTTCTGGTGCTTGCTGAGCTGGTCATGGATAGTTTGGCATTCGTGCAGAAGCTCCTTCAGCTTCCCCTCTTTCCAAATATCCATCCTGCGTTGCAAGCAAGTTGCGGTAGAAGGGGAGGGGTTGCCAAACGGCTTCTGCAGAAGTAGGAGCTGATAGACCATAGCTATCTTCAACACACATCCCGCGTTGACGCCATACTGCCTGAATCATTCCAAATATCTGCTCAGCTGCGCGATAAACTCCCGCCCCGTTCTCCCATGCGGCACTAGGAAAGCGTTCGGCCGGTAATGGACGGCTATGTCGTAGACTTCCGCTACCATGGTCAGGGTCTGCTCTAAAGTCAGCTCGCCGAGGATGAAGCGTGTCCTTTCCGTTGCTAGGAAATCTGACACTACGGTAGCTGCGGTGTTGGGGACTTGCTCTGGACAGTGCGCGTGTTCGCCAGTGCCAGTGGACTGCGTGGAGGTCAGGTTCACTAGCAGGTCCACCTCGTCGGTGGTCGGTTCGACACACTCCGGAGTTCGCGGTGGATCGGCGAGGGCATTCTCTTGCTCTTCCAGTGCGTCCCAAGCTTACTGTTGTGAAGGTGATATTTGAGCCTCATTGGGCTGAGTTTCTGCAGCACTTGTTATGATTATGGTCACTGATCTTGTGCATTGTGATTACATTTTCACTTCTCTTTGTCATTCATGTCTTCCTTCTCTATGACTCTGACTTTGTCTCTCCAGTCTTGATATTGGTCTCTCACCCCGATTATCGTTTCGAACGATAATGTATTTTTTGTACTGTTGATATTTTAATGTCAGATTAGTTATTTCTGTCACTACGTAATCTGTGACGTCGGTGACAATCACAGTTCAGTTTTTGTTGTTCTGATGCATGAACGCGCGTATCCCCAGCAGGGAAGTCAACGAGGTCTTGGTCTGGCTTGTTGTTGTTCTTGAATCTTGAGTCTTCCGACAGTTCTGATTATTTCCTTGTCTCAACCTAGTACCTTTATACATTCTCATTACCGTGATAGTAGATTACTTTATTTCCTGTAGTTGCTGTGGCCTGATGTTGTGTGGAGCCTGTGCACGTGGAGAACAATTCTACTACAGCGACTTGGTGCAGAAACCCGGGAAACGGAATGGCTGAGATTCCGTAACACACTGGTGGTGGATGGCTCATGCCGGCTTCCAGGCATTTTTGCAGGAGCTCTGTGGTGCAGGCGTGAGCGTCACCTCCACTTTCCACTCCACGCTTCCAGTTCAAACTGCCACACTCTGCAGCCGCTGGCACGGCATTTCCGATGGTTTGATGATCCGGGTGGATGGTAACGGCTGTGTTCTTGCCTTTCTCCTTTCTTCCACGTGTACAGTTGACACAATGGCGGTTGTCTTCGTAACAAGAACAGCTTTTATGGGGGTCACATTCCCAGTGCAAGTGCAGCACCGACTTCCGTGCGGACCTGGACCCTTCGCGTTGTTGTTTGTTGCCATCAGCACACCGTCGTAGTACTGAACTCACTAAACACGTTGAAAATCGGGGAAAACCCGGAGCTTGAAAAACCCTAACCGACCCTTCTCCCGTCATTCAACTTCAGATCAAGCTTATAGCGTTAATAAAACTTATGTCTCCTCAAAGATCTCCTCAAAGATTTTTTGTGTGCTCTCAAAAGTCTCAATAGGAGAGTAGAATAAAATCAACAAAAAACGTTTGACCCAATTTTGGCGAAAAGCAATAATATATACTCTAATTTCAGAAATTTCGGTGCTCAATATTTTCGGTATGAGGGCAAAAGGCCAGGTTAGGTGAACAGAACTTTTCGGTACAGGGAAGCTGTTCCGTATTGGATTATGTGTGTTAGTGTTTGTTCGTTGTATTGAAATTTTAGGTATGAAGCAGATGCACAGAAAGTACCGAAAATAAAAGTACATCGAAATTTGGTGAAATTACAGTAACCCCATTTGTTTATGAATGTACTGAAGTACTGTCGAGTTCAATGAGCATCTGCTCAATGTACTGTCGAGTTCAATGAGCATCTGCTCAATGGTGTGTGGCTTTCCACATTTTCTTTCTCTAATGCAGACAATCTCTTCTGACACGGTTCTGCATGTGCAATCATTGGAAAGCTTTGCTGTGCTTGACGTAAACCAGTGTGAAGGTGTGAGGGGTTGCTCAGTATGCAAGGAGGTTCCCAACTGTATCTGGAAAGACGGCACCTGTACTGTTCCCACATTGTAAGCGACCTTGCCGTTTGCAACTGTTGCCACTTTAGATGTCACTTTAGATGTAGTGCTGGAATAATATTATGTTTGATAGCATGCGGTGTTGGAGTCATAGTTAATGCATGCACTGGTCTTGTTCTTTGAATACATGTAAGCAGCAAAACTCAGAATCCCAATTACCGTAAAGTCGCGGATAAAAGCATAGAAGCTGCTTTCTGCATCAGGCTTTAATGCAAACCAGGCTTGTATGCAAACCATGCTTATATGCATCACTGGTATTTTTGCCAGGCTTGTATGCCAGGCTTCTACGCGCGACATGCATAGATCTACCACTGACTACCGGTATGGCGGCAGTTTTACTATGCACCGTACATAGCGCATGCACTCTTGACCTACCCGATCCGCGCTTGCATAGAAGCCAGGCTTCTACGCCCGACAGGCTTATATGCATTTGACCCGTTAGATTTTCAGGCTTCTATCCGCGATGTGCTTGTATGCAAACCCGGCTTTTATCCGCGACTTTACGGTATTGGCTAATGCAGACGCAATTAGCATATTAGATTTACCGTATTTACGTATATAATAAATGTAGAGCCAAAGGATTTATTGCAATTACATACCAGTATAAAAACCGAGGTCTCCCGAGGTTTTCATAACTGGTATGTAATTGCAATAAATCCTGAGGCTACTACATTTATTATACATATGTTGACCTTCGCTTTCCCTAAAAAAGAGTATGTTATAAACAGTATTTATTGGCTTTAGGGGTCGTCCGTAAAGTACAGTGGTATTTATTGAGTCTAGCAAGTTTATTTGAATTTGGTACTGTTGATGGTGTGGTCATTAATGAATGTGGGTATTTATTGGAGTTTAGAATCAACTCGTAAAAACTCCAAGTCAATCTCCAATTGACACAAACCTCGTTTATTCAACATAATCATATCCTATCCAATAAAAACAGTTCATAAAAACTGTTTATAAAAACAGCTTTTTAGGATCGGACCCAGTTTGCATAACCATGATAGCCAAGAGAGCTAGCTCCCTTGGCTGCTTTTGGAATATGCAAGAATGGGCCTTCCATATGTAGTAGTCTTCTCCCCCTGACCCCCGCCATACAACAACGCAAACTCTTGGTTATATCTTCAGTACTTATATTCTATCAACAAATGGTGAGAGCGCAGGAGGAGAGAGACAACCTCTGTGAAGGGACAAAATGACGACGGGAAAAGACACCCGGGAAAAAGACTTCAAGAAAACAACAAGAACAAGCAGTAATATTGCGACGACAAATTGGGACGACCAATCAGGGACTAATACGTACAGAACACATGACCAAGGCCACTGAAGACAACCAGACTACGGACGAATCACACCTGACTCTCATTCCCAGACCAAACTAGCACTGCGTATGTACAGAATTCACTTGACAGTCACTCTCACACCATTGGACCATTGGACGCCCTTCCATTGGATGCCCATCGCCGAAGGCGATGATAGCTGCTGCTACAGCAGAAGCCATAGCAGCTTGTGCTGGGATTGCACCATTCAACAACTTGCAAGGCTGAAGAATTGACCGCCACTATTCAGCCTGGTCTACACCACACAGCTATGACGTGGCTTTTTTCTGGCCAGTGAATCCCTACTTTTTTTTTTGGTCTTTTTTCATTTTTTTCCACACACATCACACCACATACTCCAGCATGCACTGGCTGTTGGTAACCACCCAGGAGAATGAAAGAAAAGTCAGGAGAAGTCTGAGAAAGAGAAGAAAGACGTGTGTGACCATAATCGTCGGGAATCGAACCCGCAACCTCTCGATTGGAAATCGCTGCACTCTCACACAGACGGAAGCACATCCTCACACTCTGACAACGCGTACTCTTGCATGCACCACATACCATAAACGTCACACATCACACCATACTCGCACGTACACTTAGACCATATAATTATGACATCAGACGCTGGACTCCACAAGACCAGAACCAAATACAACGACATGCGTAAATCATAGTCGTAATACAAATTCGCAACAAGGAGAAGTGGCTATAGTTATGAAAAGAACACAGGACAGGTCGGTGTGAATCCTGAACGGCAACCGAGCCTGTCGTGGGGAGGGGGGGGGGGGGTCGGCGGTGAGTCTCGCCTCGTCTGCACACAGGGACATTGCACCATCATGATAAGTATCACTACGAGCAACATACATTTACTTTCCAGTGGCATCATTATTCACCGTAAGATTTGCGTCGCCTGTGTGGTGTGCTCCTCCACCAATGAGTGCGTACTATGCTTCTTCTCGCTTGTTCTCACATTTACCATTTTAGCTAGTGCTGAAACGAGCGTATCTATAACAAACGATCAGTTCCACTGACGAGCAAGCTAACGAGCGAGCTAACGAGTTTCATTGATGTGGCAAATATGATTTTTTGAATATATTTTTTTCGCAGTTCGATTTTTTTCAGCTGGTTCAAATTATCACCGCCAGCATTTGGGGTTGCTGCTGCTTCACTTCGGACTGTTGTTTGGTGTCGAGATGTCTTTTCAGCGCCGTCGTCGAGTAGCCTTTGTAAGAATAGACCGTTTTGCAAAGATTGCAAGTAGCCCTGGTCTTCGCTGCATCGCGGGAGAAAATTTCCAAACGACTGAGCGTAACTATTTTACTTTCACTCGAATGGAGAGGTGACCGAAGCATATCCTGCGACAGGTCAGCAGATGCGGAACAAGACATCAGTAGAGTCCACCAAAGCTGCAACGACAACTGAAACAACTCAAGTGTCGTGCAGGCATACAGTCACTGTAACTGCGAGTGATTTTCACTGTGCGCTGGACTGGACTCTCGATCGACCAGGGAGTCGTAAAATATTTTACGACTCCCCAGTCGACATGTACTGCCATGTGTACGGAGTACGGCGTACGGTGTTCGTTAGTGCAAACGAGCTGGCCGCACAAACGAGCCGAGTTTCTGGCGAGCGAGCTAACGAGTATCCGGTGAGATCGTTTCAACACTAATTTTAGCAGCTTGCATATGCCATTGTTCTATGTGGAAAACGCGCACTTGCGCCATTTCTGCTGTATAAGAATGATCGGTCCTTTACACTCCATTATCATCATTCACATCCTCTACTGATGAGCTCCGGCAGGGAGCGACACAGCTGTCTAGAGGCGTGGAAAATAGTATCTCTCAACGGAAGTGCCCTTGCTGGTGTCTGTATGGTTCGGCTGAGAGCGCGTGGATTTGACGAGTTGGGAATGCAATAAATTGGAAATATGGCCGAAAGCTCTGTCGCAATATTTAGTTATGACAAGTTTGGCCAATCAATTCAGAGTGCCTGCCAGTTAAACACTCTTCAGCGGCCTCATTCAATCTTTCATTTTATGCGGCAATCTCTGTGCTTGGTATGCATGGTTTCTTACTGTTCTCTTCTCCCTGCAGGGCGGACTACAAAGGAGACCTATGTCCGCCAGGTAAGGATGAAGATATTTTTAGTTGCAATCCTGGCCAATTGTCACATCATGTGGCATTCTTCACGCTCCGACGAGGAACAGCACCAAACGATTCCTGAGACAACACATTTTCTTTCTTCTTGTGTTTCTAATCTTCGTTCTCGCGATAGCCAGTACTAGATAAAGGAGAAATAGCAACGAAGAATTGGGTGGGCAGGGATTAATGACTACTTAAGTGTATGGGCAGGGGTGGTCGCTACACGAGCATACAGAGTTGGGGAACAAGAGAGATCTCTAGGATTTGAAGAGAGTATGAGATGGGATTGCACGAAGCTGGGTAATCAAACAATTTTTCAAGTGACGAAGGGCCTTGTACAGGGGAGAACGGGGACAGCTAACAGTCCTCGGAGTTGGCAAGTGCCAAGTACGAGAGCGGCGTCAATTATACGAGAGTATATATGGTGGTGCATAATGGTGGTGCAGAGATTGTGCCAAGAGGATATGTTTAACTTTAAAGCGTGAAAATAATGTTCGCTATTTGATGAGATGCAGAAGGTGGGAGTGTTGGGTCCTGGTTCTGGCTATAACCATGAAGTGCAAGTGATGGGGTACTACAGATGCCATTGTTCTGAGTCTTCTCTCCGTATTCTGCATGACACTGGGTCTCTTGATCACTCCAGAAATTGATGAATGCACCACTAACACTGACCAGTGCCATGCCAGTGCTACGTGTGAAGACACACCGGATTCATACACCTGTCAATGTGATGCTGGTTACAAGGGAAATGGCACCTCCTGCAGCGGTAAGTTGGTAGAGAGTGCCATGTCATTTGCAATTTATCGCTCAAATATTTGGACGAGTATACTCGTCCTCAGTCGTTTAGTGCGTACTTCTCAGAATGTCCTTTAATATACTGATCCTTAGCACGGATAGGGTTAATTTAAATGCATCATGGCGCAAATAATTCTGCGTATGCATGCTTAGGTTGCGTTTGGTTGGGCATTTTCAGAATGTAAATGACAACCATTCTGGAATGGGAATCGGCAAGAATCACCTGACCAAACTAACGCGCCAGAATCAATTAGGAATCACTTGACATAACAATTCCATGATGTCGTTGAGGAACGGCGGCTGTCTTTTCTTTTACCCGACTCTAGTTTCCTTGAGAGAGTCATGGTACTTCTGGGTGCATGATACGAGGCACTTGAACCTGTTGCTACATTGTTTGGCTCGTGGCAGCCATTATCATTTTTGATTCCCGGAATGAGAATGCTCATTCCAGCATGTGAGGTGGAATGATCATTCTCCAAAAGAATCATTCTCAGCGATTCCCATTCTGGAATCATGTGGAATGTGACCAACCTAACGCACTTTTTTTTTTGACCAACCAAACGGGCGAGAATGATTCCGAGTGATTCCAAATGATTCTCATTTGGGAATGTGACCAACCAAACGTAACCTTTGTCACCATCATTTTTATCCACAATTTAAGCTGTATGGCTATCCTCAGACATATGGGGTAGCAGGTGTTAGGATGGCAGGTCAGAAAACTATAAGGACTTCAATACAACATAGCAAAACTGGGAAGCCTTGGCCACTATCGTATGCTGCAACATACATTAACGTTACTATGACAACACGAAGGTAATGACAAGCTATTTGACGAGAATACAGTTGAACATCGATTATCCGACCACCTCTGGGCAGACAACTGTCAGGCGGTGTTCAGATAAGGCAAATGTTCTGGATAAGAAAAAACTGTCACTCACACACTTTCAGTGGTTATTACTAGCCGCACGACCTTTTTACTTTTTACTTTTCAAAATTTTCGTATTTTTTGAATGGCTCACTACATGCACAGTGCGTACTCTACGGCACGTGCGCCCAAAAAAACTGTTACGGATAATCGAATGGTCGGATAGTCGATGTGCGGATAATCGATGTTCAACTGTAGAAACAATGCTGGTAATGGGTGTCGTCCTAGTAAGTTAGAAATGTGGATGACACGGCCAGAGTGTTTTCTCCGTTGTGTACACGTGTGTATGTGCATGTGTGTGTGTGTGTGTGTGTGTGTGTGTGTGTCGTGTGTGTATGTGTGTGTGTGTGTGTGTGTGTGTGTGTGTGTGTGTGTGTGTGTGTGTGTGCGTGTGTGCGTGCGTGTGCGCGCGTGTGAGCGTGTGTGTGTGTGTGTGTGTGTGTGACTGTGTGTGTGTGTTTGTGTGTGTATGTGTGTGTGTGTGTGTGTGTGCGTGCATATGTGTGTGCATGTGTGTGTATGTGTGTACGTGTGTGCATGCGTGTGTGTGTGTGTGTGTGCGTGCGTGCGTGTGTGTGTGTGTGTGTGTGTGTGTGTGTGTGTGTGTGTGTGCGCGTGTGTGTTTGCGTGTGACCCTATGTCTCTCGATCACCCCCAGACATTGATGAATGCAGCACTTACCAGCATCGGTGTCATCATGCCGAGGCTATTTGTAAAAATACAGAGGGCTTGTACACCTGTAGCTGTCGTGATGGTTACACGGGCAACAGTACCTACTGCACAAGTAAGTTGGTAGAGTGTACCATATCATCTGCAACATACCTCTCTTAATCTTGTCGTGCCTGCACCGTAGCCATGAACTAGGGTCAAACCTCTTTAGAACGAGCACTGAAAAGGCAAGAAAGTAAGCAGCAGCAATCTGCCCATGAAAATCTACGTCCACAGAGAAGGCAAACTGGTGCCAATCCTAAGCAGGGGCGTCACACACGGTACGACCACTACGACCATGGTCGTACCACTTTTCGTCCAGGATGGTCCACCCAATTCATCCGAAAAAGCAATAAAAAAATTCAAGGATCTTCGGACTTGTACAAAACATCGCAACTGTTACTTTCATTGCAAGGAGCATACAGACTTGATGCCTAGCACTAGCAGCTACGCCCAAGACTACAGGCGGCTATCCATTACGATAGGCGGTTGGAGTCACGGTTAGAGATAACCAGACGATGGATTCCTCACGGACGCATTCACTGCAAACTTGACGGAAACAGAGCTGAGCTGGCGGCGATCACTGGGTCCAGAACTAAAATTTTCCAAGATCTACCATGTTACAATGGCGATCAGCACGTCAAGAGACACTACATGTATGTCACTTGTCAGCTACAACATAATAATTATATTCTTTCCACAACGACACCTACCTAGTACCTCTGGCTCCTGACGATCTACTGCAAGCGGATTCGAAAATGCATTACACCCGCGAACGCAGCGCTTGTCAACAGAAAAGGGAAGCGCTTCATTCTCCGAAGCTGAAAAGTGTTTGGACTGCTGCTCCACGGCGGCAGAATATTCTGCAGCTGTTCACCGACACGACCCGCTTCACCTATATTATAACGATTTACGATCGTTTCGTTCCCCGAGTTTTCTGGTAGCAGCAACAAGAATTTCGTCCGCGACGACAGGACGAAAGTCTCTCGCAAACTAAAGTCCTGTTGCCACGAAGACAGAGAAGATTCCGCAAGCGCTTTCTTCTGCTTCCATTGTTGTAGCTCTCCGGTCCACTGGCAGATCTTTCAATCCCACCGAACAAAAACAAAGGATCTTCTTCTCTCTCTAAAAACAACTAAAATAATTACTTCACGACTGCCCAGGCCGGACGTGTACATAGTGTACGCGACGCGGCAGACTTTTGCAGGACACGACATACGTTTTTGCATAGCCGCTGGCGCTAGACCGCGCAGCACGCTTGTACTTCGAATTTTGCGATTTTTTCGAGGGCAATGGCCCTGAATCATTGAATGGGTTCCATTTGCCTTGCTTGGCTACCTACGATGTACAGAAAATACCAAAAATCAATGAGAAGTATGTTTTTGGAGCTGGAGTGGGGTTGTCGAATAAGTGCTAGGGGAACCCTCCTTTGCGGCTGTAGAGCGCTAAAAGGTGGCCTGTTAGCCGAAAAATCCTTATTTTTTTCTCCGGGGGACACCCCCGGACCCCCGGTCGTACCACTCCCAGCCGCCCTGTGACGCCCCTGCTAAGGCTGGCCAAAAATTATTCATTTACCACCTTCGGTCCATATGCGTGTGCTGGCTGGTCAAGCTCATTGAATGTGTGCACGTAAAGCTAGTACTTTGTACCATAGGGAGAAAAAAAGGAAAGGCAGCCATGACAAACGCCATAACACAAGCATGGAGAAACAAATACAAGTTACAAAACATTTGATGTTTGAGCGGGCACAGAGGAAAAGTATAAATTCGAGGGTTGCACGGCCTGTACAAAGTACTAGCATGCCTCACTCTTGTGTGGTTCGACCGTGATTTGAACAAAATTGAGTATGAGCGCATAGTACAAATTTTCGGTCCCCGTGCATGCTCTAACTAGTCACAATGGATGTGTAGACATAGCTAGTACATTGTACATGGTACATAGTAAATCACGCTAGACGTGCAGCTAGTAGACCCAGGTGCTCGAAGTCCGTACACTTTTACAGTGTGTGTTTGCCGAGCTGAAACTCACACTAGCAATGATCACTTGCCAGAATCCTGCTCGTGGATGGAAGGTATCTTGTCCAAGTTTGTTCTGAGGCCAGGCTCGATTGAACCAGGCCATCTTTCGATCCGATATGTTTCTCTGGAGTTCGCTGATTTTTCATATCAAATTTTGGTGTCGCAGAGGGTACTGATCCGTACTGATCAGAGGTGACTCGAAATACACACATATTTCTGCTAATTGCTAACTTGCAATCCCTCGGGTACGACGAAAGAACCGAAGGGATATGTTTGGCATGTGCCTCCACCAGTATTTCTTGCAAAAGCGTAGTTTGTTGCCGAAATGCAAGCTGTTTTTAGTCGGCTCAGAGAAGAAGCAGCTGCGCTGTGAAAACCGCGGGAAAACAGTGGTGGAGATGCCAGGAGTGTCAACCTTTCTGCAAGGATTGGTGGTTCTCTGTTAATTCTTCTCCTCTGGCAATTGTCAGCTCTAAGCTGGCTCTTGATGATTGAGTGAAGGTCTGTTTGACGCTGTGTCCGTTCGAAATCGGTCTTGGCAAAGTTGATTTTTGCATGAAATGTAACCCAATTTGTATTTCATATGGACATTCGAAAACCCACTCGCGTGGTATGGGACTTCTGCTTATCGTAGATCCCTGAAAATTGCTACGCGAGGAGAACATACCACACTGTTCCCTCCATAAAATATTTGAGTCGAATACAATAACAGAACATGAAATTACGGGCGTACGAACTTAGGATACCATGTACGGACTTCGAGCACCTGGGTCTACATTGTACATGGTTCATAGTAAATCACGCTAGACGTGCATCCGTACTTTTCCCCATTACGGTTCAGCGTGGACTGCAGACGCCGCTTGTCATGCAAAGCGAAGGTGACTTCCGCTTATTTCGCAACCGCGCTTTTATTCCCTGTCAGTGCGCGAGGAGTTAAAGTGTGTTGTGAAGCGAGATGTGAGGAGATCTGTGAAGTGTTTTCTGAAGGTTTCATTGTTTTGAGGGAAGATTCAAACGGGAAAAGTCTGAAGAAAATATTGACTGTCACCACATGGGCTCGAACCAGACACCTTCACTGATGGCCAGCTTGTGAAGTGAAAGGTGTTATTTTGCTCTCGAATGGAAATGGCTTGAAGGTAGCAACTCTCTGTTGACAGAAAAATTGAAATTCTAAAGGAGCTCTAGACATGAGGAGAGAAACAAGGAGAGCAAAAGTGTTGATAGTGAGGAAGCTCGACCTGTTTGGGTAGACATTGTCAAAGATCGTATAAAACAAGCGGAAGATCATTGTGTTATATGAGTAATCAACTTTAGCTCCATCCAAGAAGCATATGGCCCAATATCTGAGACGTTCGACCCTCGGGCTAGGCGAATTTTTTGAGAAAAGGAAGAAGCAAAATCGATCGCAAAAAAAATGATTCTATCAGAGCAAACAGCAAAGGAAATCAAAGGTGATCCCTGTGTCAGGTGACTTTTGGATTCAAAGAGGAGGGCAAAAGCGATCTCATCGACGATGATGCATCATTCTTTGGCGACATCCCCTCCAGCAGGGTCAGTGCTTCTGATAGCGCAGACGAAACGATCGCATCTTGACACGACATGCATACCTGTCGGCAGTGACAATACAGAGGACCTGGATGAGTATGATGAAGGCCAACCGCAGCCGGCCACAGTGCTAGCTGCTGCAGCTGTGGATAAGGACAAACAGCCAGACATCAAGCTGTCATCCACTGAGGACATTGAAGCACGCTGGGTCACTGGCGCAGGTAGTCAAAACTGCTTGCTGCGTGTCCCACCAGAACTGCATAAGATGCTACAGAGGTTGAAATATCACCGCCCCTAGAATAAACCGTTTTACTGCACACGGGTATAATTTCATGATAGAAATTGGGAGAGGATTTACAACTTACCTGTTGAAGCAAACCTCCATCGCCAAACAACCTTCAAAACCGAAAGAACCAGTCGACAAAGAAGCTGGCATGCCTGAATGCCTCCATGCACGCATGTACAAAGTCATCGTAGAAGATGTGCAAAGCAAGTGTTCCACTGACGTACCGAAAAACGTGCACAGGTTGCAACGGACCAAGATTCAAACAATAACAAATCAGTCGCAATCCAATTAGACTTGAACGAAGCAAAATCTCTCTCTCTTTCTCTCTCTCTCTTTCTCTTTCTCTCTCTCTCTCTTTCTCTCTCTCTCTCTCTCTCTCTCTTTCTCTCTCTCTCTCTCTCTCTCTCTCTCTCTCTCTCTCTCTCTCTCACACTCTCTCTCTCTCTCAATCTCTCTCTCTCTCTCTCTCTCTCTCTCTCTCTCTCTCTCTCGCATTTTATGTGTCTAACGCTTGGTCTGTTGATCACCCCCCCCCCCCCCCCAGACATGAATGAATGTACCACTGGTAGTCATCAGTGCAGTGCAGATGCTACGTGTCAAGACACACTGGGTTCATATACCTGTCAATGTAATGATGGTTACTGGAGAGATGGCACCAGCTGCAGCAGTAAGTAGCTGCATTTTTCGATGACAAAATCCAATTTGTGTCATGCATGAACAGTGGTCATGAGATACTGTGGTCTTTTTACTAATTATTTTTGAGACACACAAACCTGCATTGCAACAGGATGCCACAACGATTTCTTCAAGTCTCCAAAGGGGTCAAGTTGCATAGGACAGTGTAGTGAATGTGACCTCCGTTTGCCCTTATTTTCCCACTTTATTTTTCCATTAAGAACTCAGATGGTGAGCCAAGGAAAATATCTCATAAATTGTGCCCACAATTCCCATGTTACAAATTTTTTTTTGCGGTGAAAGTTTTGCATACGCATGCTTCTTCACCATAATTTGTATCCGCAAAAAAATGTAGTGAGAATTGAGTCTTTGTGGGAGATGGGTGCTAATGTGATATCTTACCGTCGATGGAATTTGGATGTCAATAGTGTTGTTTACAGTCCCCTTCAAAAACATTGACAATCCTGGTGATCGCCCAGTATGCCGTCTTACAGTGGAAAAACTTGCTGTGAACACGAAGCAATATTCCGCGCGAAAGCATGGAACGCTGTGACAACTCACGCATGAAGGTACATGTACATCTGGTTTACAACAAACAACTTTTACTTTTTGCTCATAATCGTATCGATATGGAGTCATAGAGGACAAGTCGAAATTGTGGTAAATGTTGAAGCGCGGCATGTTCCGCGACCAAATATTTTCTTTGAGCTGTGTCCCAACGATGCAATTTATTCTCACCATATGACGAAACGGCATAGACACGCACTCATTCTGCAGGCCATGACTTGGCAAAGCCATCAATCCGTGTCACTTGGACGACATTTTGAGAAAAGCAGCCGCCTGTAGAAGCTGAAAGAAGACGTCGCCAACTCATATATCCAAATAAATCGAAGATCGGGAAATACTAGAATATTTTCTCAACAAGAATTCAATCGATCAATCGATATGCCTGAATATTCAACACTTAGCTACTTACACTCACTCACACCGTTTCAGTGTTATGTGTATGTTCACATGACGTGAGCCAGTCAAGTGCAGTCAGTCGACAGGAAGCATGAACTCCAACATTGTTGCAACAACATTCAACAAGTCATTTTGGGGCAGCCACCTTCTTTGACTTGACTCACCAAAACAACGAAGAAAAGTGTTGTGAAAAAAAGAAAAAAAGAAAAGTGAGTTGAAGATAGGTTGGGATTTGAGCCCATAACTTCATGGTCAGCAGACAGCATTCATAACCCCAAGGCCAAAACGGCAAAGATAAATCATGGCTTTTTGATGAAAATCGCTACTGGATTCCCGGGCGAAGTCTAAACTAGGGGAAAGGGCCAGAAACCTGGCCAAAATCCTTAAAACTCCTTAACGGCTGGTCCAATTGTTCCGAAACCTGAAATAGAATGAGTGTCGTTGTGATAACATCATTTACGAGTGTCGTTGTGATAACATCATTTACGAGTGTGTTGTGCGTGTTAGTCGGATAATAATATCAATAACAATACGCCGATATAATAATAGTTGCATAGATAGTACTTACGTTGTTGCTTGCATTCTCGCTCTCCACAGCAACTCCATTGCGTGCTGCGTTCTATGTATTCCTATTCTGTACACTGACTCTCTCTCTGACAGGGTTTGCTGTCACCCTGTCGCTGGGCGCAAGCAGCCTCTGACAGACCAAACCGATTCGCTTCATCTTTGCAATATTTATCTCCTTTCGATTTGAATTTCTGTTTGTTCTGCACTCTGACTTTTCCTTGTATTGTTGCACCTGCGCTTTTGGACGCGGAACTAACTTTGCTGTCGCCATTATTATATCCATGGTTACGTTGTCTGTTGCACATAGTCATTGACTGATCGATGCATCATGCATGATTTGTGATCATCTGCTTTTCTGATCTTCATGCATGCACGCACTGATGTACACGTAAGCCAATGCACGCACCCGGGCACGTTTTGCTGATGACAGCGATTTGGCGATCGTGGTTCTTGGTTCTTTTCTTGTTGTAATCTTCTTGTAAATATCTTAACTTAACTTTGTTTCTTCTACCTGGTCGCTTGGTGCACTGGTCTGTGTGAGCGATGGTAATGGTGGTTTGTGGAGTACAGTAGTGAAGAGGATTAGACAACAACTTTTGGTCCCGAAACCCTAGCTTGAGGTTGAGCCGTTCAGGGCTGTTTCTTCGTTTTTCAGTTTTCTCGTTCTGTAAGTGTGTGTAGCCTGTAGGGCTGTGTTACCTTAGTGGGTAGTAATGTCGTTGAAGGTTGACGGATTTGTTAAGCCCTTCAAGGGTAAGCACGACGACTGGGACATGTTCTGGGTCAAGTTTCAAGTAATTGGCGAATGTTCTGGTTGGGACACCGAGGAAAAGCTGATGACAAGGCTGCCCCTGTTCTTGGAGTCGGATGACTGTTAGTGTACTCCAAGATGCCAACAGATGACAAGAAAGACAAAGCCAAGGTGGTGAACGTCATGAAAAATACATTTGGAGTGTCACCATGAGATGCTTATCGCCAATTCAGTAGACTTGTGCCGACAGCAGGCCGGCCACTCCGGCGATGGTGATGACAACGCCATCATCATTGAACAGCTGCTGGCGGGGCTACCTGTCCACTTGGAGCGCCAGATTCGCCTCTCGTGCGCTGGAGTCAAGTTCGCGGTACCGGACATTGTGAGCAAGATCCGTGCCCTAGCCGTTGTGGATTCGTCCAGGCCTGATACGGGGATGGCAGCAGTGGCAGTGCTGCGCCCCGAGGTGGCAGCAGCAGTGATGGCAGCAGCGCTAGTGGACAAGCTCCCAAAGCCAAGACACTGTGCTACTTTTGTAATGAGCCCAGGCACATCCGCCGCAACTGATCGAAGCGGACTGCCATCCGTGGAACACTGCAGTGTGTGTTCTGCGATAGGACCGGGCATGTGAAAAAAGACTGCTTCCAGCGGAAGAAGTGGCTGGAGGCGCAGTCGGCGAACGGTGTGTCAGCAGCATCTGTGGGCGGCGCAGACAAGGTGCTCTGTCTGCAGAATCATGCCCGCGGCGGGCTACCACGCATATACTCAGATGTCTCGTCTCCAGGCGGAAGTTGCTATCGAGCAACTGCTATCGTGGATACTGTTTCCACCCGCACGCTTATTTCTTGTGCTCTGCTCGCGCACATGCCTGATGTGCAGTTGTCTCGTGCCGACAGCGAGTCAACCATCCTCGCGTTGGACGGTAAGCCCCTTGATGTACTATGCTCGGCGCAGCTGCAGTTCCACCGCGATGATGGACCGGTGCGCATACCCCGCACATGTGTCGATGTACTTGTCGTCCCGAATTTATCGGTGGTGGCTGCTGATGTGTTGCTAGACAACGAACTTGTTGCACGGTGCGGTGGCGTCAGCGTGTCATATGACGACGACGGCAGTATGAGTCGCGTAGTTTTCGGCGAGCAACTGCCTGCTGCTGCTGCAGCCGCTGGTCCGGTCAGTTCACCTGATGCTGTTATTGCTGACACCGAATTCAAGCTGTCGCGTCATGTTTCTGTATCACAGGATGGTGATGATGTTGTGCTAAGTGTCGACGACGGTGAAGCTCACTGGGTACCTAGTAAGCAGTGCTGGGTGATGTCATCGCGTTGGAAAGAGGACACTGCTCCCGTGTCTACAATTGGCAGCGGCATTACTGAGTATGGCCCGAAGCACCTCTCGCCACAGCAGGAGGAAAAGTTTACTGCAGCGGTCGATGAGTGGGTAGCCAATGGTTGGCTCATTGAGTATAACCCGGAGGTGCACGGAAAGCCTGCCTGTGTTCTGCCCCTGATGGCAGTTGAGCAAGAGCACAAGCTTTCAACTCCTGTTCGGCCCGTGTTGGACTACCGCCATCTGAACCGGCAACTTGTGTCGCACCCAGGCAATGACTCTCCTGTGTGTGCGGAATCCCTGCGGTCGTGGCGTAGCCGTGAAGACGAGCACGAGCTGTTAGACATCAGGAAGGCATATTTGCAAGTGCATGTCCGGGATGATTTGCTGAGTTATCAAGTCGTCGTCTGGCAAGACAAGACCTACGTAATGACCCGCATGGGTTTCGGCTTGTCTGTGGCTCCCAAGGTCATGGACATCATTGTCAAATATGTGACCCGCGACATGCCAGAAGTCGACAATTATGTGGATGACGTGATTGTCCCCAAGCCTCTGTCTAGTGCTGTGTCTGCCCGCCTCGCTGCATACAGCCTGCCCACGAAGCCTGTGGAGGATGTCAGTTCTGCTCGAGTGCTGGGTCTCCAGCTGTTTACCGCAGCTGATAATGAGTTACATTTGTTGAATACGAAAAAGGACGACTGACAACATATTATCCAGACATTGCAACGGGAACAGGTAGGTTGGTGGAACGACATTTATTAGAGACAGGACAAGAGACCAAGACGAACTAAACGACTACATGGTGATTATTGAAGAGTGAGAAAAGAGAGCAAGTCTGAACGCCAAGATAAAGGGCCTGGGTAGCTATGGCAAATATGGGCGCGCAAGTAGCTACCCAGGCCAACGGAACAAAAGGAGAAAAAAGGTGAGTACGCAAGTGCATGCAGGCCAGCTAGAAAAGGTACGGGAGGAGGTACCTAACACATTGGAGCAGACGTGATGGTGTCCAGCTCGAGGTGGCTGATGAGATTACCCGACGGGAAGTATTCAGCCACTATCTCGTCTGTTCCTGGCTACGTCCAGCCTGTGGCTACCTGAAGCGCCTTGCCAGTGTGTGACGCTGTGGTCCATTGCTGTGCCGAGCTACAGGCTATGCTGGACAAGGCTGACTCAGCGACCGGCAAGTGGGCAGTGAATGTGGAAGCACGCGACTGTAATATGTGGTGCGATGCGTCCGACGTCGCCTATGGGGCGCTGCTAGAGTGCGATGGGGCGGTAGTTGAAGACCGTTCCTGGCTTCGCCCTGCTTCAGATCGCCGCCACATCAATGTCGCCGAACTGAATGCCGTCCTGAGGGGCCTCACCCTCGCAACCGACTACCGTGTGAAGACAGCGACGGTTGTGACCGACTCCAAGACTGTGTACGGCTGGCTGTCGGCGCGACTTGGGAACATTCACCGGGTGAAGACGAACAGCCTCTTCGACGTTGTCGTGGAGCGGCGCCTGCAAGCAGTGGAGGACATCGTCGCAGAGACCGGCATGCAAGTGCACCTTCGTTGGGTGCTTTCTGCAGAGAACAAGGCCGACAAGTTGACGCGTGTGCCTGGCACGTTTGTACGCTGCTGGAGGAAGCTTCAGCCGAGCGCCTCTCCTGCTGCTGCCTCTGCCGCCGTCTCAGCACCGTCAAGGCAGGTTGTAAGTGCTGTTCTCTTGCAAGACGTGTTGTCTGCTCAACATTCTGATGAACGGATTTCCAGTATTATTGCTGCTGTGTCTTCTGGCTTCGACGTTGTTGATCCTGCTTTTAAGAAATTACGGACTCAGCTTCTTGTCTCCGACGGCGGTTTGTATCGCCGTGTTAAGGTACCCCCCAATGATGAGCAGGTTGTGCCTGTTGTTCCCCAGTCCCTGCAGCATCGAGTTTTGTCTCGTGCGCATGCGATTTGTGGTCATGCCAATTGAGAGACCACTTGGAAGCTGCTTCGTTCTGGGTGTTATTTCCCTAATATGGCTGCTTTGTGCCAGTCTGTTGTCCAGTCTTGTTCTGCGTGTGCTGCCGCTAGTTCCAAGATATATATCAGAACAATTTGCCATGCCCTAACTTGTTTTCTGATATTCCCTTCTCTTCACACTTTTTAAGACCAAAACCTGATTGTCAATGTTATAAAACTTTTTGAAATGGACCATATTATTAGCAGTGCATATTATTAGCACTGCAGGCAGCGATGAAGACATTAGAACAATAGGAGAGGAAGTATTAAAAAGCGGTAGTGATGACGTATGCAATAATCTGCAGACAAAGTGAATGACACACGGAAAGTTGGGTGTGGTCCTCGAAAGAGTGCTCAATGCACCGGGGTGCAGAGCTTCATACAAAAGGAATAGAATACGAAGCTTGGGTTGGCTGTGACTCCGAGTTTCACGCCTATGGCGATCATCAGACAGCAATGATTACAAAAACTCAATGAACTCGGAGTCACAGCCAACCCAAGCTTCGTATTCTATTCCTTTTGGACAAAGTGAATGATATTGGCCAGAGTGCTCTCTCCATTTATGAGGTTTTGTGGGTGATATTTATTGATGTGATATCTTTCTGTGGATGACGGTGTTAAGAGTTCTCTCTCTATTTTATGTGCGTGTAACACTTCGTCTCTTGATCACCCCCAGACCTTAATGAATGTGCCACAGACATTCACAACTGCCATGCCGGTGCTAGGTGTAAAGACACAGTCGGTTCATACACCTGTGAATGTAAAGTTGGTTTTACAGGAAACGGTGCCAATTGCCAGAGTAAGTGGCTACAAATAATGTCTCTACACACGAGTTTCATGCTGAAAAGCAATCATCCAGAAACTTTGCTTTGCTTTTCAGAATGAAAGTTGTGAGCAGAGAACTTTTTTTAATCAATTTTTGTTCCACCGGATTTTGGTTTGTCCTGAACTCTGCACTCCGTGTATTGAACACTGTGACTGGTAGTCAAGGTTCTTCTATCAACAAAAGCTCTATGGCGAGAATTGATGTTTTTGTGGATGCTGGCTGGTTGGTCATGTGATATCTTTTACCGTCAGGCGAAATAGCACGTCATAGTACATTTGAGATCAGCGGGAAGAAGATGATATCATCTTCTGTGGTTCCATACCTAGCATGTACGTCTGAACCATCCTGCAAAGTTTGAATGGCGTAGGTTGAGCGATCGCTCCGCGAAACATACTTTTTGAAATTCTCTTCATAGTATATCTTCCACCATTGAAATTTCGAATTTCTTTCTGAGAGGGGTGGCTTGCAACCTCGATATGGCTTGTTCCAGGCATGTTTTGGAGCCATCTTCTGTTGAAGTAGTGGCGGGGATCTGCCCTGCAACTGCTACAACAAAAAATGATTCGATCTGAGAAAGGGTGAGACCGCGAATCTCGGTTGTGTAGTATTATTCTCAATATGGACTAGGAGACATGGACGAGTAAACTAATAAGGAGCAAGAAATGTACAACCAGTAGTGTCATGTCCTGGACATGGACCATATGTATGTAGTGCGCATGCTCGCACGTGAGCTGGGTCTTTTCGGATATGGAGTCTGAGATGTACTGAAATCTGTAATGGCCTCAAGTGTGTGTGTGATCGAGCTGGATGAGTCCGAGTAGAACCCACCTGGGGTAGGACACAACAACTGGCGACGAAGATATGGCTCGGATATCATCGCTTCAGCCATTTACCGGCGGCGACTTTGAAGAGTTTGAGGAAAGACTTGAATTATATTTCTTTGCCAATGGTATTGGAGCCGTGGCTGTTCGGCCAATGCTGCAGACAAGTTGGCTGCCAGCAAGAAAAGGAAGGCTGTATTAGTGAGTTTGCTGTCTGCGAAAGTCTACTCGATTTTGAGGAGCCTCTGTCTGCCAGCGAAAGTAGCTGACAAGAAACTGTCGGAGATTTGCGATCTTTTGAGGAAGTATTTTCAACCTGCAATTTCGCAAGTTTCGGCGACGTTCAATTTCCATCAGTTGAAGCAGAAGGAAAATGAGTCGACTGCGGATTTCATCATTCGTCTGAAGAGATTGGCTGTGAGGTGTGAGTTTGCTGATCACCTCGATCGAGCGCTTCGAGACCAGTTTATTGCTGGCTTGAGCAGCTCATCCACTCGAAATTTCTTATTGACGAAAGAAGATACTTCGGCACAGTCGTTCAATGACATCGTCAAACTAGCTTTGACTCAGGAATCGGCTGCGCGCGCGGCCGTACAGCTGACTTCTCAGCAGGAAGTGCACAAGGTGAATCACCGGCCAGTGGAATCGCGTTCGCAGGCGCAGTCTGGTGTTTCTCGTCAATCTCATCAATCTCGAGAGCAGAGATTATGCTACCGCTGTGGGTCTACTCAACACTTGGCGGATAAGTGCAAACACAAGGCCACTGAGTGTCGTCACTGCCACAGGAAGGGGCATTTGGAGCGTGTTTGTCGGCAGAAATCCACGTCAGGCGCGTCGGTGCACAATGTTGTGACTGATGACGCAGGTGAGCATGAATCTCTTGATCTTGAGTGCATGCCAATGTTCCACATTTCGGATCAGGGCGAATTGAAGAGCAAATCTGTGCCCTCCTACAAATTGGAAATTGCTGTGAATGATGTTCCTGTTGTAATGGAAATCGACACGGGCAGTGGCATTTCAATCATTTCTGTCCATGATTTTGAGTCACTTGGAGTGTCTCATACAAATTTAACCAAACCGAGTGTACGCATGACCGGTTTTTCTGGGGCAGAAATCAAATGTATTGGTGAAGGGAAGTTCAATGTCAGCATTGATGGTGTGGAGAAACCAACACTACTCCGTGTGGTGGATAATGGTGGTCGGTCATTGTTGGGCAGGGATATGTTGTCCCAATTTACTCTACCGTGGAAACAGATTGTCAATGTCAATCATGTTCAAATGGATGGTAGGAGGAGAGCTCTCATTGAGGAATTTGAGGAGCTATTCCATACGACTCAGGTTGGCAAGCTGAGGTCGGCTCAAATCACCCTGAGAGTGGATGATTCTGATCCAATTTTCCACAAGGCGCGTCCCGTACCGTTCTCTATCACGGAGAAGGACGAGGAGGCTTTGGAGAAATTGGAAGCAGAGGGAGTTATTCGCAAAGTTGAGCACTCCAAATGGGCATCGCCTACTGTGCCAGTACTGAAATCGGATGGTAGTATCCAAATTTGTGCTGATTACTCTCGCTCAATCAATGCCAAGTCTGATTTGGAGCACTACCCGCTACCTACTATTGAGGAAATGTTAGCGAAATTGTCGGGGGGAGATAAATTCACCAAATTGGATCTCTCCCAAGCCTATCACCAACTGGAGCTTGACCCAGCTTCTCGGCCGTACACGACAATCTCTACTCACAAGGGGTTGTATGAATACGTGAGATTGCCGTTTGGCATTCACTCGGCAGTGGCAATTTTCCAACGCACAATGGAATCCATATTGGCAGATCTGCCTGGGTGCATCGTCTATGTGGATGACATCCTGATTACTGGGAAGGATGAGGATGAACACCACAACAACCTGATGAGGGTACTCCGTCGCCTACAGGAGGTCGGGATGAAACTTAATCCCAGTAAGTTTCATTTCATGATGGATGAGATTTCCTACCTGGGTCACACGATTTCTAGTGCTGGTGTGGCTCCCACAGCGGATAAGATCGAGGCAATGCGGGACGCTAAGGCTCCTTCGAATGTTAACGAGCTTCAATCATTCATTGGAACGGCGAATTTCTTGCGACGGTTCATACCTCATTTCGCAACAATAATGGTACCTCTGTACAATCTGGTGAAGAAATCTGCTGAATGGCAATAGGAGGAAAATGAGCAGAATGCATTTTCTCGAATCAAGGCTGCACTGTGTTCCAGTGAAGTACTCATTCACTATTCCTCGGAGAAAGATCTGATCCTTCAAACGGATGCTTTGGGCATTGGTCTCGGTGCGGTAATGTTTCAGAAGGACGAATCGGGCGAGCTTCGTCCTGTAGCGTACGGGTCTCGTGTTCTCTCGTCGGCGGAGAAGAACTACTCCAATATCGAACGGGAGGCATTGGCGTTGGTGTTTGGAGTTACCAAATTTCGTCAATATCTGTTGGGACGGACGTTCATGCTGAGAACGTATCATCAGCCATTACTCAAATTGTTCGGCTACACAGAGAAAGTGCCTACTCTGGTATCTTCGAGGCTGAAAAAATGGAAGATGGTTTTGTCGGCATACAACTACTCAATGGAGTACATTCCGGGCAGAAAGAATGTATTTGCGGACTATTTGTCGCGCAAGCCAATGAGTGGCGATCCTACTCGTGATGAAATGATTGAACAACAGGTGTTGTTTGTTCAAGAAGAATCTGAAATCATCAGGGCTGCTACTGTAGCGGCGGAAACGAAACGGGATGTCGTCCTGAAGAAGGTACTCCATTTCACGATTAATGGTTGGGAGGAAGTGTCAGAGCCAGAGCTCTTTCCTTACTTCGCTAAACGGTGGGAACTGTCAGTGGAGGACAACATCCTTTTATGGAAAGGAAGGGTGGTCATGCCTGACTCCCTGAGAGTAATCCTCCTCAACGACCTACACTCAGAACACTCTGGGGTAGTGAGAATAAAACGGTTGGCTCGGAGATACGTTTGGTGGCCTAAAATCGACGAAGATATCGAGTCGACGGTCAAGCAGTGTGCCCTATGTCAACTCAATGCCAAGAATCCCCCAAAAGAGTTTGCAACTTGGACATGGCCGGCAGGACCGTGGCAGAGACTGCATCTCGACTTTGCAGGACCGTTTCTTGGCAAAATGTTCCTGGTATTGTTGGATGCGTACTCCAAGTACATTGACGTTATTCCGTCGTCCCATGCTACGTCAGCGTCAACAATAATGGCTTTGCAACGCGTGTTTGCTATTTTCGGCCTGCCAAACCATATCGTCACGGATAATGGGTCACAGTTCACAAGCGACGAATTTCAAACGTTCTTGCGGAAGAATGGAATTCATCACACGTGTACCGCTCCTGGCCATCCGGCCACCAATGGAATGGCAGAACGGTACGTGGGGTTTTTCAAGAGCAAAAATTGATCTCAGCATCGAGCGTACGGTATTTTATATTCAGAAAATCCCAAAGTGTCTCTGTGTGGCCGTCCTATGCCACGAGAAACTCCAATCAGGCTCCTATGTCCTCTGCCTTCATGATTGAATGTCCACTTTGTTTGAACAACGAATGCAACAATCGAGGACGGCTTTGCAATGAAAAATACAGCTATACTGGAGCTGAAAAAAAGAAGAAAAAAACGTGCTCAGGATGAGACTCGAGTACACGCATACTCTCCCAGCAGGTGAAACGCAAATTTTTGCGAAAAATGCGTGTCACCGACTGACCAGTAATTTCGCCTGACGTGCTTCTTAATCTATACTACATTATCCTCTCCGTTCTAACTCCCTTCTGTGACTGCTTTTTCTCCCCTCTCCTCCTCTAAGTCTTCTACTTGTGAAAAGACACCATTGCCTGTTTGGCTGAACGACTATAAATAACATATCTTACTGTGAATGACATTGTCCAGACTGCTCAGTCTATTTGTGTGTGTGTGTGTGTGTGTGTGTGTGTGTGTGTGTGTGTGTGTGTGTGTGTGTGTGTGTGTGTGTGTGTGTGTGTGTGTGTGTGTGTGTGTGTGTGTGTGTGTGTGTAACGCTTGGTATGTTGATCACCCCAGACATTAATGAATGTGTCATCGCACCCAACCCCTGCCCTGCGCATGCTACGTGTCAAGACATAGAGGGTTCATACAAATGTGAATGCTTTACTGGATACTCCAGAGATTGTACTGGCACCTGCAGCGGTAAGTTGGTAGAGAGTGGCATGTCATTTGTATGTTTTGATTACACCATCCAATTATGTTGTGTCTATGGTGCGAAATTTGATGCGCTATTATTTCCGCAAGCTGTTGTCTTTGGTCTTGCTGTGTTGTCCGGTCCGGTGTCTTATGTGGCCTGATGCAAGTATGAGTATGGTGTGAAGTGCGCCAGATATGGAGCGTAGTGTCTGAAGGAGTATGTGGTGTGGATGGCGTGATCAGTGGCAAATATGGTGTGTGTGGTGCATGTTTGAGTACATGTTGTTAGAGATGGTGAGATTTTGCTTCCGTCTGTGAGAGTACGCGTGTCTACTAGGGGTTCGGCGTGCATAGGTTATGCAGAGCATGCCCTGTGAAAGTAAGGCGTGGGTGTGAGAGAGTGAGAGAGAGAGGTGTTATTCGTCCACGATGTCGTAGTCTTGGTTCTGGTTACGTGTATCGTACGTACTGGTCTCTCATTGGTCGTTTCGATCTGTTTTCGCTCTTTAGCCTGTTTGTAACTGTTTGCTTCACCTGCACTGTTATCAATAACTATTTAATTTGTTTCACTACTTGAGCCAACACACTCAATAAATCTGAATAGGTGCAATTGTTTAGAACAAAATCATTTCGCTCAAAACTGATACTTCACTGTTGAGCATTCAAGTCACACATTTTGGAGACAACCAGAAAAGCGAGAGCAGGCAATTGCAGAGCCTGAAGTCATCTAGGTCCTGAATACCGACAGTTCAGTGGAACAGGTAAGTAAATACCGTACTCGTGCCATTATTGCCCCTAGGGCACTACTTTCAATGTCCATCACAGGTTGGGCACTATTCAAGAGAGGGCACTACTTTCCCCAGTGCTGGTACATTCTACGTCGTCCCGTATAAACCAAACTATCACCACTACACAAAGTAAGAAACAATTCAATGACATGGACAAGAACATTACCAAAAGAGCACCAAACGTCAACATGCACTTGGTTGCAAGCAAGGAGGGGGGGGGGGGGGATATCAAGAGAGGGCTGTATTTTTTTCCACTGGTTTTTAGAGACTGGGGCACTATTCGAGATAGGGCTTTTTATTGCGTGAGTACGGTAGCTGCAATTTTCTTTTTTTGGACCCGCCCTCTTAGGATTGCAAACATGTGTGGTTCAGAAGTGCTGTATGATTGGCAGCTGGCCATTCAGGCAGCATTGATTTCTGGACATGCATGTACAAAACTTAATACTCGCGTTTCATAGCTCGTGAAGATGTTGCCCCAAGACTAGCTGCGGCGTTACCTCTTTAGACATCCACCTTCTGGGCAAAGGCAGGAGCCAGCTCCGTAAGCATCTGAGAAAGCATAATGATAATTACACTGTGCATTAAGTCTCTGGTTTGCCCAGTGACCAGCCCTTCTTTTGTGTCTGCAACATAATAATTTTTGTCGATGTACACATACCAGTCGCTCAGCGGGTCGACATTCGGATTTTCCTGACAGTCTCTCTTACTCAATCTCTTACTATAGTCATCAAAAGTATCCTGTCAATTTTCAGACAAACTCAGCGATATTCCCAACAAATAAATAATAATTATTGCTCTCGCAAACTATCAGTACCACTTTGCTTGGGGAGCAATTCTCTGAAACTAAAATTAATTCACCAAACTTGAAACTGCATTGTTTAAAATAAAGACAACCGCTCAATCAAAAAAAGACTTTTCATGAGCCAACTCACTGCACACCGAACAATTTCATGTCATGTTTTGATGATTGATATCCAGTACACATGTGCTGTTTTTTTGCTGGCCAGAGTCTGCATTGCAACACGATGCTATACATGTTTCCTCAAGTTCCCTGAGTGGCGTAATGCGCATCAACAAATTTTCTGACTGCTTTTCATCTTGTTGCAGTCCGGGATAGTTGCTTCATAACTCGCTTCCATGTGATTTCTTCTATTTTAACCTTTTCTGTGCTGATGACGTCTATAGACGTCAAGCGCGCTGCACGCCAAACGACTAATGATGTCTATAGACGTTATGAGATTTGCGCAGTGACATCGCAGTGCATAGATCAGTGTACAAACTTCCGTAACTCCGTCAAAAATAAGTCTATCGATACACCGTTGGAAAGGTATTGAGCTCAGATTTCCAGTAATATAAAGTTTTCGCGATAGGAGAAAGATTGACGGAGCAGCGACGGTGTGAACACAGAATTCACGGCATTGAGCGATCGTGAAATTTTTTGTTCATGCGTTCGCAGTTTTCTGTTGCGTGCCAGGGAAGCACGTGGATCTCAGCTTTGCAGAGCAGTTTGAATTGTGAAAATCGCCGGAACTAGAACAAGAAACCGAAAAAGAATGTGAGATCGAGTTCCTGTGCCTTTCAGAGGCACTGTGAATTAGTTTCGAGAGGATGTAGAAGTTGCACCGCCGTGCATATTAAGATGAGAGTTACCAGGATGCATTTGCTTGTTCCTGATCTTTCCAACAAGCTCAGGATGACGAAAATTCATCAAGGTGAACTGAATTGAGAGAAAAATTCGTTCGCACCTGTGCGCGAAAACTACACCAGGAGAGTCAGTGCGCTGGAAAGGCAGTTTGCTGGAGTAAATGGGGCCAGCACGGAAAGAGTTTTAAACAAACTTTGTAAGAAGAAAAGAGGACCACCCGTGTCTAACAAACTACCGTATTTCCCCGTAAGTTAGTTCTCCCCAATGACTTAGTACCCCCCCCCCCCCCTACAAAAAATACACTTTCCACCGCCGAGGTTATCACCCCAAAAGACAGTCCCCCCCCCCCCCCGAAAGATAGTAAGTTCGTACCCGTCCTACATGTACAGACACCGTACAGTACATACATCATATGCACAGACACTAGAGTTGCGCAGGCTTCCCACCGCATGTCATTTACCCCCGATAAAAAGTACTCCCCGAAAGATAGTGCCACCCCCGAAAGTTAGTCCTCATGTGGCTGCTAAGTTGGAAAGTTAGTACGTACTAACTTACGGGGAAATACGGTATGTGCCGAGGATTTAGGTTGTGTGGGGGATATTTGTTGATGTGATTGCTTACTGTGGGTGACGTTGTCCAGAATAATCTCCCTTTTTTATATGTGTATTATGCTTGGCCTCTTGATCACCCCAGAAATTGATGAATGTATTAATGCACCATGTTATGCAAACGCCCAATGTACTAATACACCGGGTTCGTACACCTGCACATGTCATAACGGTTATACAGGTAACAGTACCTACTGCAAAAGTAAGTTGGTAGAGTGTGCCATATCATCTGCATGTTTCCATACCTCTCTCAATCATGTCGCGCCTGAACTCTATGTATCTATCCATCCATCTACTGTTGTATCATGAATCATGATGTATTGTTTTCCTGTGTGATGGCATTCCCCAAACTGTCTCATCCCGTCGCGTGTATGTTTTTGTGGATGCTGGGTGGTTGTTCATGTGATATCTTACTGTCCGCGCTGCGTGCTCAGAGCAGTGTCAGAGCGTGTTCAGAGCAGTGTCAGACTAGTATTTGAGTGGCAAGCGTATTGATCATGATTAAAGGTTGAGTGTAATCACATGTTACAACTTACTGAATTTGCCGTTTGATCTTCATTGCACAGCTCTGTTGTATTTCTCTTCTTCTGCTAGTTCTTTCTCTTCTGTCTGTTAGCGCTTACTGTCACCCAGCGCTAGGTGCAAGCACCCCCTGGCAGCTACATACTACATTGTTCTACTTGATAAAAAAAAATTTTTTTTAAGTATTATTCTTCGTTGTGTTATTTTCGTTTCTTTCTTGCCATGTGCCAGCTGCCGAAGTGTGCAGTCGCAGCAGCGCCAATTTTGAATTATGTCCTCATTGATCATGTGAGATCAAGTGCAATTGTTGCTAGCGCTAGATCCGCGAATCTGGTAGTGGTACGCATGCATACATGTAGCGTGACATGCCTGTGATAGTTTTCTGTGATCTGCTGTTTGCACTGGAATCGCACTTGTACTTTTGACCTCTTCACACTTCTCTTTTTGGCTATGCGTGTCGTGAACTTCTCCGCGAACGTTTCAGCTGATCCCGCGCGGGGTTCTCATGCACCGTGCGGCGCAGTGCGGAATTTTGGACTTGTTTCTTTTCTTGTATCCTTTTCTGGTTTCCTAGCACCTTTTCGGGACTGTTCCTCTGGGCAAGAGGTAGCCTTGTCTTGGTGGCTTTTCTTGTTCATGATGGAGTTTTTCTTTGGTGCTCGTAGAGTCTGTTTCATCTTTCTAGTATTATTATCAAATTTACACTATCGTCATACTAAGCACAGCTTTGGAGTGTTTTGGAGTGTTGGCGAAATTACACTTGCTGTGAATGACGTTGTCCAGAGTGCTCTGTCTATTTTATGTGTGTGTGTGTGTGTGTGTGTGTGTGTGTGTGTGTGTGTGTGTGTGTGTGTGTGTGTGTATGTGTGTGTGTGTGTGTGTGTGTGTGTGTGTGTGTGTATGTGTGTGTGCGTGTGTGTGTGTGTGTGTGTGTGTAACGCTTGGTATGTTGATCACCCCAGACATTGATGAATGTGTCATCGCACCCAACCCCTGCCCTGCGCATGCTACGTGTCAAGACACAGAGGGTTCATACAAATGTGAATGCATTGCTGGACTATCCAGTGATAGTAATGGCGCCTGCAGCGGTAAGTTGGTAGAGAGTGGCATGTCATTTGTATGTTTTGATGACACTATCCAATTCTGTCGTGTCTATGTTGCGAAATTTGATGCGCTATTGTTTCCGCAAGCTGTTGTCTTTGGTCTTGCTGTGTTGTCCGGTCCGGTGTCTTATGTGGCCTGATGCAAGTATGAGTATGGTGTGAAGTGCGCCAGATATGGAGCGCAGTGTCTGAAGGAGTATGTGGTGTGGATGGCGTGATCAGTGGCAAATATGGTGTGTGTGGTGCATGTGTGAGTACATGTTGTTAGAGATGGTGAGATTTTGCTTCCGTCTGTGAGAGTACGCGTGTCTACCAGGTGTTCGGCGTGCGTAGGTTATGCAGAGCATGCCCTGTGAAAGGAAGGCGTGGGTGTGAGAGAGTGAGAAAGAGGTGCTATTCGTCCACAATGTCGTTGTCTTGGTTCTGGTTACGTGTATCGTACGTACTGGTCTCTCATTGGTCGTTTCGATCTGTTTTCGCTCTTTAGCCTGTTTGTAACTGTTTGCTTCACCTGCACTGTTATCAAGAACTATTTTAGTTTGTTTCACTACTAGAGCCAACACACTCAATAAATCTGAATAGGTGCAATTGTTTAGAACAAAATCCTTTCGCTCAAAACTGATACTTCACTATTGAACATTCAAGTCACACATTTTGGAGACAACCAGAAAAGCGAGAGCTGGCAAACGCAGAGCCTGCAGTCACCTAGGTCCTGAATACCGACAGTTCAGCTTTAAAGTGGAACGGGTAAGTAAATACCGTCTGCCATCTTTATAAATGGGTTGTCATCCTTGAATGTGGGTGTAAAGGTGGAAACAACCAAACCATCAAATATTTTCCATGTTTTGCCTCTGACCTGTGTTGCTAGATCCATTTGGATGTGATCGGCCAGTTTTACAAAAGGCAACTTTTCCGGTAAATTCCTCCAATACCAAACTGAATATCCTGCACGCAGTTTGTGACTCCGGCTTTGAATCTAGTGGTCCATCTAACCCTCAGGCAACTTGCCACAGTGATGGCACGGTAACAGTGCAAGGCAGATGTGGTAAGATATTCCTGTGGGTTTCTGATGAAGATTGTAGTGAGCGTAGATTGAAGTCTCACACTTGTAACGGAATCTCAGCCATTCCGTTCCCCGGGACGCAGGACACAAAGGACAAGTCTGGTTTGTTACATTATTTATATTGACAAGACGGAAATGGAGATAACACTCAAAGGGACGAACAAGAAGACTGACAAAGGGACTCTCGACTACAAAATCGCGCATGCTCATGTCACACATGCACGCGACTAGACGAGACAGTTTGGGGAATGCCCTCACACAGGAAAACAACACATCATTCACAACACCTGCCCCCTTGCTGACATTCCACAAAATAATAAACCGATACCACGTTCCACATGCACAACAGCAAAAGGAACCACAGCAGAACAGAAAAACGAAAACCAACCATCAGCCTAGAGCCGACGCTCTACAACCAGACAGACTTACCAGGCCACGCCACACAAGGCCAACCAAAACACGGGAGCCGAAGCTCCAACAAAATAACAACATGCGCACAGCCGCACCAAATAAATCTACAACAAAAACAATGGAGAACAACAGAACGAATACAAGAGCAACAGACCGACACCAACCAAACTGAAACAACACAGCAACAAGCAACGAACTGAACAGAGAGAGAACAACACAGCGAGCAAGACAAGACGAACAACAAGGACGACACACAGTCGGTGACGCCAGACTCGTCCACTGTCCTCTGGCGAGCCACGGCCACACGCTCCGTCGCGGTTCCTGCCGTCTCAGGCTCCAGTCCACAGTGACTGTTCTAGTCCATCACCTTCTCTGCCTCCTCTCCGCGTCGTCTTCCGCTCCCACCAGCTCTTCACCTCCTCCGCTCCCACGCTCTGTTTACTTCAAAGTAACAGTTACTTCGTTGTTGACGACGACGAGCAGACTCATTACAAACTAACTCATCCTCTGCGTCCCGGGTTTCGGCACCACGTTGTAACGGAATCTCAGCCATTCCGTTCCCCGGGACGCAGGACACAAAGGACAAGACTGGTTTGTTACATTATTTATATTGACAAGACGGAAATGGAGACAACACTCAAAGGGACGAACAAGAAGACTGACAAAGGGACTCTCGACTACAAAATCGCACATGCTCATATCACACATGCACGCGACTAGACGAGACAGTTTAGGGAATGCCATCACACAGGAAAACAACACATCATTCACAACACACTTGGTCCACGTCATCAATATAGTCACTCATCTTTCGAACTTAGTCTTTAGATAGTCCAAGGTTCGAGTCCTGTTGGGTCTGGCTATTTTTTCTCTTTTTCTGGCAGTTCACTTCCCCGACTGATCCTTTGAATTTGAAGTTCTCCCTATCCTTTCAAAAAACAATTATCGCGTTCTTTCACCTCTGGTAGTACGTTCCAGAAAATGACTGTGATTGGTCCCCTGGGAGGAGAGAAAAGACCAAAGTGCCATCAGTATGTGTGGCACTTGTTGTGAGCTGCCTTTGGAGTGTAAAACTTGCCAGCACCTTCTAGGTTCAGCCTTGTCCCCTAGCTCGGTGGTTAGAGCATTGCTCATGACAAGCAAGGTCCCGGGTTCGAGTCCTGGTGGGTCTGGAGATTTTTCTCTTTTCAGGCAGTTCACTTCCCTGACTGATCCTTTGAATTTGAAGTTCTCCCTATCCTTTCAAAAAATTAATAAATCAACTCGTCATTGACCTTGCCACTACGGCGAACAGTTTGGCCATGGGGGGGGGGGGGGGGTCGACTACAAGAAGGCGTATGACATGGTTCCTCACGATTGGATTGAGCGCTGTTTGGAGCTGTTTGGCATACACGAATTCATACGCAGACTTATGACTGTTAGCATGGCTCAGTGGAAGCTTAACCTTTTGAACGGCACCAACAACTTGGGATCGGCGGGCATTCAGCGTGGGATTTTCTAGGGTGATTCCTTATCCCCACTGCTGTTCGTCATCTGCCTCATACCTATCACCATGGTCTTAAGGAAGGCTGACACAGCCTACTGTTTCAAGGATCAAAACCGAACCAAGCTCATCCATCTATGGTACATGGATGACATCAAGCTGTATTCAAAGAAGGAAAAGGTGTTGCGATCTCTTGTTCACACTGTTCATGGCTGTAGTCAAGACATTGGCATGCGGTTTGGTGTGGCAAAATGCGCGACCGTTGTACTAAAGGCAGGAAAGCATGCAGCCTGACCGCTCTATCAGGTCCTATTGCCTGACCGCTCTATCAGGTCGCTGCGACCAGAAGAAACCAGAAAAACGCACAAATTTCTTGAAGCTGGAGGTGTGTATGAGGACGAAAATCCTGCAGGAGTGCAAGTGGCATGTGCGACGAGTATTCTGCTCAGCTCTAAATGGTCACAACATCATCACAGCCATCAACACCTGGCTTTGATGCGGTATAGTGCTGGTATCTTGGCATGGACGCAAGACGAGTTGAAACCTGCTGACCGAAGAACGCGTAAGCTTATGACTAGGATCTCTCCATTCATGCGCTGCTGTAACCCGTATGTACGTCAGTCGCAAGGAGGGTGGACGTAGTTTGCAAAGTATTCATGAAGTTATCACCATGGAGAAAAGCAATCCGCAGCGGTATGTGCTTCAGTCAGACGAGGAACTGCTGAACGTTGCTGCGCCCATTGTGTGGCCACATCTGGATGCTCCCCTGGACTCCTCACATGTGGTGAAGTGTCGCCTTCAACAAGAACACCTCTTGGCGTGGAACCAGAAACCATGGCAAACAACTGACCAATGAGAGCACCTGGACTTGGCTGACAAAGGCTGGTCCCAAGAAGACCACAGAGAGCCAGATCATCGCGGTACAAGACCAGGCCTTGGCAACTCACCTGCTCAAGGTCCACATCTTCCATCCGGGCGGAAGCCCCCTGTGTCAAATGTGTGGGAAGGCAGCAGGTGAGTCAGTTGCCCATATCCTAGGACAGTGTTTAAAGCTCGCAGGACGGGAGCGCTTGGAGCGTCATAATCAGATGGCCTCTCTGGTCCACTGGTCACTCTGTCGTGTACATGGGATACCATGTGAAGACAAGTACTACAAGCACCACTGTGATCCGGTGCTTGAGCATACCAAGACCAATGCAACGGTACGGGCGCATCCTGCGCCCGAGGATAACGTGCCTGAAGCTAGAGATATTTCAGACGCCATCATATCTCCGCAGGACCAGAATATCATGATCCTGTGGGATTTCATCATCCGGTGCGATAGCTTCATTGAGCACCGAAGGCCTGGTATTGTTCTGGTTGATGGACCTGCCAAGAAGGCTCTGATCATTGACATTTCTGTACCTGGTGATCCATGCGTTGCTGAAAAGGAAGTTGAGAAACGTGCCAAGTATCAACTTCTTGCTCGCGAAATCCATCTGCTTTGGCAAGTTGCGACTTAGATTGTCTCTGTGGTAGTTGGGACTTTGTGCACTGGCAAAAGAATCCTCTCCTTTGCTCGACAGCTATCCTGCGTGATGTTCTTGTTTTGTAATGCTCGGGGGTGGGTGGTGAAGTTCTTTCGGTCAGAATTTCCTCCAAACCCTCTCGTGTTTCCTAAGATCGATATTTAAAAAAATGTTGTGTGTTTCTCTCTGTTGTTTACCTACCATCATATTTAATATCCATTATGGTGTATGCCCCCCCCCCCCCCTTGGTGGCTGGATGCTAGCCCGGCGGGTCCCAATCTACGGCCTTTCGCCGGGTGCTGATGGATAATGCCGAAATGAGATGAGATGGCCATTGTATCTTTGCTTGAATGTGTTTTCTGCAAGGCAACAGTAGAACTTATTATCAGCTGTGTCACCGTTCACATCAGCACAGTAGGCAATGCTGCTAGTGAGACGGTGACCGGTCCTAAGGCATTCAAGCTTGCCGCGCCAGTTGCATGTTTTTGCTTCTGCCAGCTGCTGGTCATGGCTAGCCTCTAGTATGTTGTGAAATGGTGACTTTTTTGGGAAATGCCTGTCAACTGCCAGTGGATGCTGAAAGGGGGATCGAACTACATAATTATGTCTAGACTTCCTTTTCTCTGCTCTGTCTCTTGGAGCATTCGTCCCTGGCCCCTCGATTTAGCTTCTGGCCAGTGCATTATTGTACATAGCTTTCGCGTCTGAGAATGCGGCCTGGTCGCGTCATCTATCTGACAGATGTCTACTGATCCCAAAGGGTCGTTATAACGAATTGTATGTACTAACGGATTATGTTGTAACCAGACCTGTAAACAGTTGTATAGACCACGTTTCGCCAGGGGATTTCAGATTTCTATTTGCTAACGGGTAGGGGTGAAAGCTGGCATTGAGATCCCGAGTTCGAGTACTCTGATTCTCACCGATCGAATATTCGAGTATTCTTCATCTCCCAAAAATTGCACACCAAGGGCCTTAAAATCACATGATACAACCCTGATTGAACCGAGTAGCAGTCATTTTTCTCGGGTATATTGGTTGGTGGGTCATTTGGGCTCTCTACTCGTGAGCAAATGTTCACCACACAGTCTGCACATCATTAGGGAGGTTCCGGAGTACGATTTTTCGTGCCAAAATCCGTGGAGGCGCTACGGATTTTTATACGTCGTTTTCGAGCAGTAAAAAGTTCCGGGGTACGGAACTTATGTGTTTGCCGTCATTGCCTAGGTTACGATCGCAAACACGTCACATTCCCGCGCTATGCCTTTTTATTTTGAAAATTTGTACCGAAATCAAAACTTCCCGCGAAAAATCGATGTTTCTCGTACCAAATTTGTACGCGAAAAATCTTTCTGCACCCGATGACGCAAAATCTCCATACGAAGCATGGTTCGTATGAAAGCCAGTCCACACGGATTCTCGTGCCGAAAAATCGTATGGAGCACGCCTGGAAAAAATCCGTGGCGCCCATACGGATTTTGGCACGGAAAATCGTACCCCGGAACCTCTCTAATATCTGCCGACTGCTGCTCTGAAACTGCAGATTTCTGTGGTGAATGCATGCACCATGTATGAACGAGTACTCTGATTTATTCCGAGTACGATTATTACTTTTCTAACCAAGCGAGTGCTCGAGTATTCGGTATAATTGCATACGGACCAACCACCACAATCTCAATCCCTTGACAAGACATGCAGAATCCCTGGATTTCTCTCAAAATCCCTGGATGGCACAAAAAGAAGTGAAAAAGAGCTTTTCCCGCCAAAAAAACGTTGGACTCTACAGCTGTGCGTACAGCACAGATCGACCCTAGGCCATAGGCTGTACGAGAGCTCGTAGACGTAGTGCAGTTTGATCAGTCGGCGCCCACCTGTCACTTTGTCAGTGCAGATCTTGCAGGGAGTAGTACAATACCCGGTATTGTACTACTCCCTGGTTCGAAGTGCGAATGAGCACCGTACATACCTTTGCAAAAATTTCAAAAAAACCGGGACATTCGGGCAGAAACCATGGAGTTTTCTAGAAAATCCTGTATCAGACAAAACTTTGGCTTTTCCGGGAGTTTGCTTGAAATCCCCGGGACCCCGGGAAGAGTGTTGATTTTCCGGGATTTTCCCGGGAAAAACGGGAGGGTTGGCCAGTATGTAATTGTTTCACCCCTACTAACGGGGTTTATGTACTAACTGGACTCGTTATAATGAGGGAGGACCTGTACATGGAAGAACTCTATGCGTTCTACGGGCTCCACCAGTACGTTACTCACGTCAGGCGAAATAGCACGTCATAGTACATTCGAGATCAGCGGGAAGAAGATGACGACGTCCACTAATTTAGTATCTGTGCACACGAATCTGCTGTGTGTGTTACTCTGTGTGTCAGCTATGGCATCATCGCCTGTGGTTCCATGCCTAGCATGTACGTCTGAACCATCCTGCAAAGTTTAAATGACGTAGGTTGAGCGATCGCTCCGCGAAAGTTACTTTTTGAAATTCTCTTCATAGTATATCTTCCACCATTGAAATTTCGAATTGAAAGTTGAGTTGAAAGTTGAAACAGTGGCGGGAAGCTGCCCTGCAACTGTTCCAACAGGAAATTAATCAATCCGAGAAAGCGCGAGTCCACGAATCTCGGTTGAATATTGAGTATTTCAAGCCTTTTCACGACGAAGATGGAGTTCTTTTTGGAGATGGACGTCGCGGCAAAGGACATGGTGTCCGACTTCTGGCGTCTGGTGAAGCCAGGGATCATTTGTCCAGTCAGGTCGGCAGCCTAACCGTCGGTAAGCTTGTGTTTTTATGTCTACTGATCCCAAATGGCAGACTCCTGATAACGGCTGTGGGAATGGGCAGAGTGACTGACAGGGCATCTACATGTAGTTTAGGGTATCATTCGGCTTCTGATACGCAATGAATCGCCCAGTGGGCAAGTGAAATGCATCACCTAGGACGTCAACGGCCATTAGGTTAGCTTGGATAGGGATTCGTAGCCTGAGCAAAGTAAAGATACAACGACTATCTCCCCTCATTCCATCATGAACGATATGAGAAGTGCACTGAGCCGTCCAAGTACAGGGGGGGAGGGGGGGGGGGGGGGAGTTGAAGAGAGCAGGCAAGCCGCTCCCAATTGCATGGTGAACCACCCGGTCTCCGAGAGTATGTTCAAGCTCAAGCAAGAAGTGTGACCTCTGCCTCATGGAGAAGCTTTTCACATCCCTGTGCAGATAAGGCCAGTTACCAAGACACTCTCTCAGGTTTACGTGCATGATCCGTTAGACGAAGCTTGCTGCTGGGTTGCCTCAAACAAAGCTGCAATCTCGAGACAGGTACCCAAAGTTAGTTTTGGATCTGATAACAACTTCTTTTTCAACTCGACATCCACAATGCATGACACCACATGGTCTCGGATCATGTCGTCACAAGCGGAACCAAAATTACACAAGCGTTAAGCGGGCCTGGACGCGTAATCTTACAACAAACTGGCTCACCGACTCATTCTTAGCAAAGGTCATCTGGCGCAGCACGTGACGCTCGTATACAGGATGTGGCGCGGCCTTGAAATGTCCATTCAGTTTCCGTAACGTAACCTTGTACTCGTTGTCATCCGCAGGCAGAGCCGACGCCTGTGGATCTTCGAGGTCTTCGAATAAGTCCTGAACCTGTGTTCCGGCAGTATGCAGCAGTAACATTTTCAACCGTTTGTGATCTGTAATCCCTTGGCCTTCAGCCATGTAAGTAAAGCTTCGTAACCATTTCTTCCAACGAGAGGACACTTCTGCTGGCGTGCCCCGGTATTCGAAAACTGGAAGCCTGTGGGCTCCGCTCAGTTTACTACAAACGCTCATCTTCGTCGCCAATTGTTATAACGTACGCACCGCGGCAAGATTCATTCCATGCAACTTGCGAAGACTGATTTATAATGAGGTAAGACATTGTCACTCTTCGTCATGCATGCATCAAAGGAACGTAGAACGACACACATAGTGAACATAGATCGTAGATCGTACGGCAAATATTAATAATAGATCAATCTATAACAGGTCAACAAAGGTGGTGAAAAAATGGTATTATGATTCAATGCCCACCGTTCTTTTTCCCACAGGACATCATTGTAGTGCGCAGAAGAAATTCCTTTCTTATCATGGAACGAAGACATATAATGACGCTGTGCGCTTTTGCTCGAGCCATTACTCCCGCCTATTGAGTGGAGCGCTGTGGACTCAATGTTTATTTTATAAACCGGGCCACAGTGAGAGAATGTGGCTCGACCTGCCACACTTTGGTCAAGTCAGTACTGTGCAGTCGGGTAGCAGACCACAATGGGTATCTGAAGGGGAACTCTATACAACTGTTTGTGAATCGGGTAAGTGAACTATATGTTCAAGAGAATTATCTCAACTACAGTGTGTTCTTCACTCTACTTGTAGCTCATGTTTTGATGATTAATATCCAGTACACATGTGCTGTTTTTTTGCTGGCCAGAGTCTGCATTGCAACACGATGCTATACATGTTTCCTCAAGTTCCCTGAGTGGCGTAATGCGCATCAACAAATTTTCTGACTGCTTTTCATCTTGCTGCAGTCCGGGATAGTTGCTTCATAACTCGCTTCCATGTGATTTCTTCTATTTTAACCTTTTCTGTGCTGATGACGTCTATAGACGTCAAGCGCGCTGCACGCCAAACGACTAATGATGTCTATAGACGTTATGAGATTTGCGCAGTACATCGCAGTGCATAGATCAGTGTACAAACTTTCGTAACTCCGTCAAAAGTAAGTCTATCGATACACCGTTGGAAAGGTATTGAGCTCAGATTTCCAGTGATATAAAGTTTTCGCGATAGGAGAAAGATTGACGGAGCAGCGACGGTGTGAACACAGAATTCACGGCATTGAGCGATCGTGAAATTTTTTGTTCATGAGTTCGCAGTTTTCTGTTGCATGCCAGGGAAGCACGTGGATCTCAGCTTTGCAGAGCAGTTTGAATTGTGAAAATCGCCGGAACTAGAACAAGAAACCGAAAAAGAATGTGAGATCGAGTTCCTGTGCCTTTCAGAGGCACTGTGAATTAGTTTTGAGAGGATGTAGAAGTTGCACCGCCGTGCATATTAAGATGAGAGTTACCAGGATGCATTTGCTTGTTCCTGATCTTTCCAACAAGCTCAGGATGACGAAAATTCATCAAGGTGAACTGAATTGAGAGAAAAATTCGTTCGGACCTGTGCGCGAAAACGACACCAGGAGAGTCAGTGCGCTTGAAAGGCAGTTTGCTGGAGTAAATGGGGCCAGCACGGAAAGAGTTTTAAACAAACTTTGTAAGAAGAAAAGAGGACCACCCGTGTCTAACAAACTACCGTATTTCCCCGTAAGTTAGTTCTCCCCAATGACTTAGTACCCCCCCCCCCCCCCCTATAAAAAATACACTTTCCACTGCCGAGGTTATCACCCCAAAAGACAGTCCCCCCCCCCCCCCCGAAAGATAGTAAGTTCGTACCCGTCCTACATGTACAGACACCGTACAGTACATACATATACATGTACAGACACCATACAGTACATACATCATATACACAGACACTAGAGTTGCGCAGGCTTCCCACTGCATGTCATTTACCCCCGATAAAAAGTACTCCCCGAAAGATAGTACCACCCCCGAAAGTTAGTCCTCATGTGGCTGCTAAGTTGGAAAGTTAGTACGTACTAACTTACGGGGAAATACGGTATGTGCCGAGGATTTAGGTTGCGTGGGGGATATTTGTTGATGTGATTGCTTACTGTGGGTGAAGTTGTCCAGAATGATCTCCCTATTTTATGTGTGTATTATGCTTGGCCTCTTGATCACCCCAGAAATTAAATGTAGTGATGCACCATGTGATGCAAACGCCCAATGTACTGATACACCGGGTTCGTACACCTGCACATGTCATAACGGTTATACAGGTAACAGTACCTACTGCAAAAGTAAGTTGGTAGAGTGTGCCATATCATCTGCATGTTTCCATACCTCTCTCAATCATGTCGTGCCTGAACTGTATGAATCATGATGTATTGTTTTCCTGTGTGATGGCATTCCCCAAACTGTCTCATCTCGTCGCGTGTATGTGTGATATGAGCATGCAGGATTTTGTAGTCGAGAGTCCTTTTGTCGGTCTTCTTGTTCGTCTCTTCCAGTGTAGTCTGCTTTTCCGTAATGTCAATAATATTAATGTAACAAACGAGTACTTGTCCTTTGTGTCCTGCGTTCTGGGGAACGGAATGGCTGTGATTCCGTTACACGATCTACACGAAAAGGAGAAATAGGTCCAGTTTGGTGGTTGGTGCGACTTTGGCGATACTTGGGGAATGGTGTGTTGCTCCCCAAGTGGGAGCTGACACTATTCCTACCCTCCATTGAACCTTCCACTTGGCAAACCGGCAAGAAAGCACCACTCGCTGCTCAATACACATTGTTTCGGGGTATTCACCCCTCATCAGTTGAGCTTGACTAGGCTGAGGAAGATTGCGCCCGAAGAGCACCACTTATATAGTGCTCTTCAGGCACAAACATCACCAGAGATACAACCTTACAGAGACGATCCGTTCCCAGCGCGACAAACACCTCCTGAACACCAGGTAGCAGCGTGACTTAGTGTCGCTCATGGAGGTGCTGAACAATCTCTGAGGACCATTGGTCATTCACAATGTTGTTGCCTCCAAATCACCTAATTTGCAAGCCCACGCCGGGAAGAACAATGTGAAGAAGAGGTTGGTGCGACTCCAGCGATACTAGGGGAATTGTGTGTTGCTCCCTACTTGGGAGCTTGCGCTATTCCTGCCGACTTCAATTCTCACCTAACTGACTCACGACTGCCATCCAGAACAAAATTTTGAAGAACTCCGGATGAGACAAACGTCACGTGTTCAGTGTAAAGTTCTATCCTTGAGCTTACATGTATTACAAACACAGACACCAAAAAAAAGTAAATTATCGTTTCCGTTCCCGAAGGGAACTCACGACGGCCGCTACCACCCGGTAAACCCTAGCAGACACCAAACCTGCGGGATAAGTAGATTTTGACATTAATTCATTGGAAACATAAGCAACAAGTACAAAGAATGCAGATCACTCCAGAATATCATAACTGGATGGAAGGTAAAAACGAAACGTAATAATAGTAGGGAAACCCCCTCTATTCCCTTCTACTGATCTATAGTCCGGCCTCCACCAGCCCAATCTCTATCCTGTAGCAGAGAAAGGCTTGCGTTCTGGTCCATCACATAAAACTGAACATTGTCCCTGAACATCTCAGCAAGTATAATTGGTTTACTTTCGCACGGGACACTCGCAATGGCATAGTACTTCCCAGAGCTTTGTCAACTATGTTTACCAAATCCACTATCTTTTCTTAATATTCACATTGGCTCAAACTGCCCATGGAAATGAAGACAATATCCAATTTTAGACAGTCCAAAGAAGCCTTTTTTCTTTTTCTTTTTTGATTCCATCAGTTTGAGGGGCGGTGAAGACTGAAAATTCGGAAATTGTTGTTGAAGAAAATATGTCTGAAAAATATAAGTGGATCAATTTTCTGTAGCTTTGTTCTGCTGTCCTTTGTCAAATATGCGAATTTTTGGGGAAATCTGATCATAGGTTCTTTTGGAAAACTGTTATTGAATCCAATACACCACACCACCACATTGCGCTCTTGGCCAATCCAAACTCTGCACTCACATCACCATCACCACAGCGAGGATAATTCCGGTATATAGATTGAAACTGACCCTCCAGACAGCTGTTTCGCTCCTCCTGAGCTCATCAGTGGAGGCATATGATGTTGAATGAAAGAATAATAAGAATAAACTGATCTTTATAGGGCTAAATTGGCGCAATTGCGCTCATTCTGCATAGAAACGTGGCATACCCTAAGTGACAAAAGTGATAACAAGGTCAGGTGATAACGACACGCGCATAATGGCCGGGTCGTCGCTACTTCTTTTCAAAACTATTATTGTGTGGAAAATACGCAATATTTAAATGAAATTTCTATGTAGGAAATTATGTCAGAAACATATTTTTTGGATTGATTTTTGCAGCCTTTTTCCTGTCCATTGTCCATCTAATGTCCGAATTCTGTGGAAGTCTGACTCTCTGGAAACCTTGTACTTTGCAGACATTTAGGCTCGGAATCCACGGAATAATGCCGTGTCAAACGCCTTTGCAAAGATCGAAAAACACCTAACAACAGTCTGCTGGTCACGACGAAGGGCCACAATGCATGACAAATGAACTTGCACTGCAACAGGGTCAAAAGCGTGTTTTCTTCAAGTGACCATATAGTCCATGTGTAGTGAAGCTACCCTACACGTGACCCACATTTCCCATGTACACATGTTTTGCCCCAATAATTTCTATACACAAAAGCTCCAAATGAAAATCTGGTGGAACAAAAAGTGATTTTAATAATGTCTCTACTCACAAGTTTCATGCTGAAAAGCAATCATCCAGAAACTTTGCTTTGCTTTTCAGCATGAAATTTGAGAGAAGAGAACTTTTTTTAATCACTTTTTGTTCCACCGGATTTTGGTTTGTCCTGAACTCTGCACGCCGTGTATTGAGCATTGTGACCGGTAGTCAAGGTTCTTCTATCAACAAAAGCTCTATGGCGAGAATTGATGTTTTTGTGGATGCTGGGTGGTTGGTCATGTGATATCTTACTGTCCGCGCTGCGTGCTCAGAGCAGTGTCAGAGTAGTATTTGAGTGGAAAGCGTATTGATTGTGACAGGTTGAGTAGTATTTGAGTGGCAAGCGTATTGATTGTGACAGGTTGAGTAGTATTTGAGTGGCAAGCGTATTGATTGTGACAGGTTGAGTAGTATTTGAGTGGAAAGCGTATTGATTGTGACAGGTTGAGTAGTATTTGAGTGGCAAGCGTATTGATTGTGACAGGTTGAGTGTAATCACATGTTACAACTTACTGAATTTGCCGTTTGATCTTCGTTCCGCAGCGCTGTAGTATTTCTCTTCTTCTGTTAGTTCTTTCTCTTCTGTCTGTCAGCACTTACTGTCACCCAGCGCTAGGTGCAAGCACCCCCTGGCAGATTAATACTACATTGTTCTACTTGATAAATTTATTGTTCTCTCAAACGTATTATTCTTCGTTGTGTTATTTTCGTTTCTTTCTTGCCATGTGCCAGCTGCCGAAGTGTGCAGTCGCAGCAGCGCCAATTTTGAATTATGTCCTCATTGATCATGTGAGATCAAGTGCAATTGTTGCTAGCGCTAGATCCGCGAATCTGGTAGTGGTACGCATGCATACGTGTAGCGTGACATGCCTGTGATAGTTTTCTGTGATCTGCTGTTTGCACTGGAATCGCACTTGTACTTTGACCTCTTCACACTTTTCTTTTTGGCTATGCGTGTCGTGAACTTCTCCGCGAACGTTTCAGCTGATCCCGCACGGGGTTCTCATGCACCGTGCGGCGCAGTGCGGAATTTTGGACTTGTTTCTATTCTTGTATCCTTTTCTGGTTTCCTAGCACCTTTTCGGGACTGTTCCTCTGGGCAAGAGGTAGCTTGTCTTGGTGGCTTTTCTTGTTCATGATGAAGTTTTTCTTTGGTGCTCGTAGAGTCTGTTTCATCTTTCTAGTATTATTATCAAATTTACACTATCGTCATACTAAGCACAGCTTTGGAGTGTTTTGGAGTGTTGGCGAAATTACACTTGCTGTGAATGACGTTGTCCACAGTGATCTGTCTATTTTATGTTCGTGTGTGTGTGTGTGTGTGTGTGTGTGTGTGTGTGTGTGTGTGTGTGTGTGTGTGTGTGTGTGTGTGTGTGTGTGTGTGTGTGTGTGTGTGTGTGTGTGTGTGTGTAACGCTTGGTATGTTGATCACCCCAGACATTGATGAATGTGTCATCGCACCCAACCCCTGCCCTGCGCATGCTACGTGTCAAGACACAGAGGGTTCATACAAATGTGAATGCAATGCTGGTCTAACCAGAGATAGTACTGGCGCCTGCAGCAGTAAGTTGGTAGAGAGTGGCATGTCATTTGTATGTTTTGATGACAATATCCAATTCTGTCGTGTCTATGTTGCGAAATTGGATGCGCTATTATTTCCGCAAGCTGTTGTCTTTGGTCTTGCTGTGTTGTCCTGTCCGGCATCTTATGTGGCCTGATGCATATATGAGTATGGCGTGAAGTGCGCCAGATATGGAGCGTAGTGTCTGAAGGAGTATGTGGTGTGGATGGCGTGATCAGTGGCAAATATGGTGTGTGTGCGGTGCATGTGTGAGTACATGTTGTTAGAGATGGTGAGATTTTGCTTCCGTCTGTGAGAGTACGCGTGTCTACTAGGTGTTCGGCGTGCGTAGGTTATGCAGAGCATGCCCTGTGAAAGTAAGGCGTGGGTGTGAGAGAGTGAGAGAGAGAGGTGTTATTCGTCCACAATGTCGTTGTCTTGGTTCTGGTTACGTGTATCGTACGTACTGGTCTCTCATTGGTCTTTTCGATCTGTTCGCTCTTTAGCCTGTTTGTAACTGTTTGCTTCACCTGCACTGTTATCAATAACTATTTTAGTTTGTTTCACTACTAGAGCCAACACACTCAATAAATCTGAATAGGTGCAATTGTTTAGAACAAAATCCTTTCGCTCAAAACTGATACTTCACTATTGAACATTCAAGTCACACATTTTGGAGACAACCAGAAAAGCGAGAGCTGGCAAACGCAGAGCCTGCAGTCACCTAGATCCTGAATACCGACAGCTCAGCTTTAAAGTGGAACGGGTAAGTAAATACCGTACTCGTGCCATTATTGTCGCTAGGGCACTACTTTCAATGTCCATCACAGGTTGGGCACTATTCAAGAGAGGGCACTACTTTCCCCAGTGCTGGTACATTCAACGTCGTCCCAAATAAACCAAACTATCACGACTACACAAAGAACAATTTCACGTCATGTTAGTTCCCTGAGTGGCGTAATGCGCATCAACAAACTTTCTGACTGCTTATCCTCTTGTTGCAGTCAGGGATAGTTGCTTCATAACTCGCTTCCAAGTGATTTCTCCTATTTTAACCTTTTCTGTGCTAATGACGTCTATAGACGTCAAGCGCGCTGTACGCCAAACGACTAATGACGTCTATAGACGTTATGAGATTTGCGCAGTGCATAGGTCAGTGTACAAACTTTCATAACTCCGTCAAAAATAAGTCTATCGATACACCGTTGTAAAGGTATTGAGCTCAGATTTCCAGTAATATAAAGTTTTCGCGATAGGAGGTGACGGAGGTGACGGAGCAGTGCTGGTACATTCAAGGTCGTCCCGTATAAACCAAACTATCACAACTACACAAAGAAGGAAACAATTCAATGACATGGACAAGAAACCTCCTGACCCTCCTTCAAACAAGAAATCTGCTCACTGCTGATTAACTCAATCTGCTCCTGCAGCGCTCACCCTCTCCCATACTTGTAATGTTCAAAGTGATGTAAATCACTTTCCAACTGTTTAACCCACAATCTCACCTTCTCATAAATTTATCTCTTATTGGCGATGGTGCCATCGTGAGAATAAAGAATTCAAACAACAACAACAACAACAACAACAACAACAACAACAACAACAACAACACAACACAATATCAGTGAGAACAATATCTTCAATTGCGGAAATACCAAAAAAAACGAAACAAATTACAAAAATAAATAAAAAATAATGGAAGTCGCGAATTTCATCAGCTCGAACGTCAGGTGCCTGTTTAACAAGATGGACGAGCTTATCCACGTGGGAGAGTTGCAACAACCGTCAATAATCGCCATCCAGGAAACATGGGCTGATCCATCGGACAGCGACGGGATGTACGCCATCAACGGCTACAAACTCATAAGAGCGGACCGGGACACCTTTGGTGGAGGAGTTACCACATACATACCACACAGCTGCCAACACGAGACAATTCCCATTCCCATGACTCAAGCGGAATGTATTTGGATTAGAATAACAACCGGCCAAGCCTCCCTTCTGGTAGGGAACATCTACCGTCCCCCACTGTCCGACCCGGCAGAGTTCGTGATGGAACTGGAGAGAGCCATAAAGCTAGTTGAAAGACCCCAGGATGAGATACTTCTCCTTGGCGATTTCAACACCAAGAACTGCTTGTGGCACCCCAGCTACACCACTGATGCCTTAAGTGAGGACCTGCATTGGCTGTGCGAGACTCGTGGTCTCAGACAAAACGTCTCCTTTGCCACCCACCTACGCCAACACACACCTACATCGTGCCTGGACCTGGCCATCTCTAGCTTCAGCCGCAATAACATCACCATCACAAGCCTGCCCCTCAGGAATCACCGTTGTACTAAAGAACAAAATGAGAACAAAGGAAATAATATAGCAATCAAGGTAGGGTAGCAGGATACAATGACAGCACTAAAGTATCGAGGTGCGATTTCTCACAAACGTGTGCAGAAAACAAGGGTATACAAGTAAGAACTATGCGTGACAATAATAGTTATGCTGTGAATTGCTCTCCCTGGTGAGGCCAGCACGCTTGCCAGGCTACCTGAAAATAAGCTTTCATGTGTGCCACACGTTTATAGGGAGCAAGTCGATTTCCCGCAGGTGGTTCTGCTCTCCCTCCATGTTCAGCTCATCAATCACCACGTGGCAATAGGTATATCATGCTTCACGGTAACCGTCTGCCATCTTTATAAATGGGTTGTCATCCTTGAATGTGGGTGTAAAGGTGGAACCAACCAACCCATCAAATATTTTCCATGTTTTGCCTCTGACCTGTGTTGCTAGCTCCATTTGGATGTGATCGGCCAGTTTTACAAAAGGCAACTTTTCCGGTAAATTCCTCCAATACCAAACTGAATATCCTGCACGCAGTTTGTGACTCCGGCTTTGAATCTAGTGGTTCATCTAACCCTCAGGCAACTTGCCACAATGATGGCACGGTAACAGTGCAAGGCAGATGCGGTAAGATATTCATGTGGGTTTCTGATTAAGATTGTAGTGAGCGTAGATTGAAGTCTCACACTTGGTACACGTCATCAATATAGTCACTCATCTTTCGAGCTTAGTCTTTAGATAGTCCAAGGTTCGAGTCCTGTTGGGTCTGGCGATTTTTCTCTTTTCAGGCAGTTCACTTCCCCGACTGATCCTTTGAATTTGAAGTTATCCCTATCCTTTCAAAAAAAAATTATCACGTTCTTTCACCTCTGGTAGTACGTTCCAGAAAATGACTGTGATTGGTCCCCTGGGAGGAGAGAAAAAGACCAAAGTGCCATCAGTATGTGTGGCACTTGTTGTGAGCTGCCTTTGGAGTGTAAAACTTGCCAGCACCTTCTAGGTTCAGCCTTGTCCCCTAGCTCGGTGGTTAGAGCATTGCTCATGACAAGCAAGGTCCCGGGTTCGAGTCCTGGTGGGTCTGGAGATTTTTCTCTTTTCAGGCAGTTCACTTCCCTGACTGATCCTTTGAATTTGAAGTTCTCCCTATCCTTTAAAAAAATTAATACATCAACTCGTCATTGACCTGGCCACTACAGCGAACAGTTTGGCCATGGGGGGGGGGGGGGGTCGACTACAAGAAGGCGTATGACATGGTTCCTCACGATTGGATTGAGCGCTGTTTGGAGCTGTTTGGCATACACGAATCCGTTCGCAGACTCATCACTGTTAGCATGGCTCAGTGGAAGCTTAACCTTTTGAACGGCACCAACAACTTGGGATCGGCGGCCATTCAGCGTGGGATTTTCTAGGGTGATTCCTTATCCCCACTGCTGTTCATCATCTGCCTCATACCTATCACCACGGTATTACGGAAGGCTGACACAGCCTACTGTTTTAAGGATCAAAACCGAACCAAGCTCAACCATCTATGATACATGGATGACATCAAGCTGTATTCAAAGAAGGAAAAGGTGTTGCGATCTCTTGTTCACACTGTTCATGGCTGTAGTCAAGACATTGGCATGCAGTTTGGTGTGGCAAAATGCGCGACCGTTGTACTAAAGGCAGGAAAGCATGCAGCCTCTGCGGAGATCCTATTGCCTGACCGCTCTATCAGGTCGCTGCGACCAGAAGAAACGCACAAATACCTCGGATTCCTTGAAGCTGGAGGTATGGACCATTCAAGTATGAGGACGAAAATCCTGCAGGAGTGCAAGTGGCGTGTGCGACGAGTATTCTGTTCAGCTCTAAATGGTCACAACATCATCACAGCCATCAACACCTGGCTTTGATGCGGTATAGTGCTGGTATCTTGGCATGGACGCAAGACGAGTTGAAACCTGCTGACCGAAGAACGCGTAAGCTTATGACTAGGATCTCTCCATTCGCGCGCTTATGTAGCCCGTATGTACGTCTGTCGCAAGGAGGGTGGACGTAGTTTGCAAAGTATTCATGAAGTTATCACCATGGAGAAAAGCAATCCGCAGCGGTATGTGCTTCAGTCAGACGAGGAACTCCTGAACGTGGCTGCCCCCATTGTGTGTCCACATCTGGATGCTCCCCTGGACTCCTCACATGTGGTGAAGTGTCGGCTTCAACAAGAACACCTCTTGGCGCGGAACCAGAAACCATGGCAAACAACTGACCAATGAGAGCACCTGGACTTGGCTAACAAAGGCTGGTCTCAAGAAGACCACAGAGAGCCAGATCATCGCGGTACAAGACCAGGCCTTGGCAACTCACCTGCTCAAGGTCCACATCTTCCATCCGGGCGGAAGCCCCCTGTGTCAAATGTGTGGGAAGGCAGGCGAGTCAGTTGCACATATCCTATGACAGTGTTTAAAGCTCGCAGGACGGGAGCGCTTGGAGCGTCATAATCGGCTGGCCTCTCTGGTCCACTGGTCACTCTGTCGTGTACATGGGATACCATGTGAAGACAAGTACTACAAGCACCACTGTGATCCGGTGCTTGAGCATACCAAGACCAATGCAACGGTACGGGAGCATCCTGCGCCCGAGGATAACGTGCCTGAAGCTAGAGATACACCATCATATCTCCGCAGGACCAGAATATCATGATCCTGTGGGATTTCATCATCCGGTGCGATAGCTTCATTGAGCACCGAAGGCCTGGTATTGTTCTGGTTGATGGACCTGCCAAGAAGGCCCTAATCATTGACATTTCTGTACCTGGTGATCCACGCGTTGCTGAAAAGGAAGTTGAGAAACGTGCCAAGTATCAACTTCTTGCTCGCGAAATCCATCGGCTTTGGCAAGTTGAGACTAAGATTGTCTCTGTGGTAGTTGGGACTTTGTGCACTGTTTCCAAATACATGCCAGCATACCTTAACACCATCCGTATCACCAGCTACTGCTCTGTGTCTGAATGGCAAAAGAATCCTCTCCTTTGCTCGACAGCTATCCTGCGTGAGGTCCTTGTTTTGTAATGCTCGGGGGTGGGTGGTGAAGTTCTTTCGGTCAGAATTTCCTCCAAACCCTATCGTGTTTCCTAAGATCGATATTTAAAAAAATGTTGTGTGTTTCTCTCTGTTGTTTACCTACCATCATATTTAATATCCATTATGGTGTATGCCCCCCCCCCCTTTGGTGGCTGGATGCTAGCCCGGCGGGTCCCAATCTACGGCCTTTCGCCGGGTGCTGATGGATAATGCCAAAATGAGATGAGATGGCCATTGTATCTTTGCTTGAATGTGTTTTCTGCAAGGCAACAGTAGAACTTATTCTCAGCTGTGTCACCGTTCACATCAGCAGAGTAGGCAATGCTGCTAGTGAGACGGTGACCGGTCCTAAGGCATTCCAGCTTGCCGCGCCAGTTGCATGTTTTTGCTTCTGCCAGCTGCTGGTCATGGCTAGCCTCTAGTATGTTGTGAAATGGTGACTTTTTTGGGAAATGCCTGTCAACTGCCAGTGGATGCTGAAAGGGGGATCGAACTACATAATTATGTCTAGACATTTTCTTCCTTTTCTCTGGCTCGGTCTCTTGGAGCATTCGTCCCTGGCCCCTCGATTTAGCTTCTGGCCAGTGCATTATTGTACATAGCTGTCGCGTCTGAGAATGCGGCCTGGTCGCGTCATCTATCTGACAGATGTCTACTGATCCCAAAGGGTCGTTATAACGAATTGTATGTGCTAACGGATTATGTTGTAACCAGACCTGTAAACAGTTGTATAGACCACGTTTCGCCAAGGGATTTCAGATTTCTATTTGCTAACGGGTAGGGGTGAAAGCTGGCATTGAGATCCCGAGTTCGAGTACTCTGATTCTCTCTGGTCGAATATTCGATTATTCGAGTATTCTTCATCTCCCAAAAATTGCACACCAAGGGCCTTAAAATCACATGATACAACCCTGATTGAACCGAGTAGCAGTCATTTTTCTCGGGTATATTGGTTGGTGGGTCATTTGGGCTCTCTACTCGTGAGCAAATGTTCACCACACAGTCTGAGTCTGCACATCAATATCTGCCGACTGCTGCTCTGAAACTGCAGATTTCTGTGGTGAATGCATGCACCATGTATGAACGAGTACTCTGATTTATTCCCAGTACGATTATTACTTTTTTAACCAAGCGAGTGCTCGAGTATTCGGTATAATTGTTTCACCCCTACTAACGGGGTTTATGTACTAACCGGACTCGTTATAATGAGGGAGGACCTGTACATGGAAGAACCCTATGCGTTCTACGGGCTCCACCAGTACGTTACTCACGTCAGGCGAAATAGCACGTCATAGTACATTCGAGATCAGCGGGAAGAAGATGACGACGTCCACTAATTTAGTATCTGTGCACACGAATCTGCTGTGTGTGTTACTCTGTGTGTCAGCTATGGCATCATCGCCTGTGGTTCCATGCCTAGCATGTACGTCTGAACCATCCTGCAAAGTTTGAATGACGTAGGTTGAGCGATCGCTCCGCGAAAGATACTTTTTGAAATTCTCTTCATAATATATCTTCCACCATTGAAATTTCGAATTTCTTCGATTTTTTGCTGAGAGGGGTGGCTTGAAACCTCGATATGGCTTGCTCCAGGCATGCTTTGGAGCCATCACCTGTTGAAACAGTGGCGGGAAGCTGCCCTGCAACTGTTCCAACAGGAAATTAATCAATCCGAGAAAGCGCGAGTCCGCGAATCTCGGTTGAATATTGAGTATTTCAAGCCTTTTCACGACGAAGATGGAGTTCTTTTTGGAGATGGACGTCGCGGCAAAGGACATGGTGTCCGACTTCTGGCGTCTGGTGAAGCCAGGGATCATTTGTCCAGTCAGGTCGGCAGCCTAACCGTCGGTAAGCTTGTGTTTTTATGTCTACTGATCCCAAATGGCAGACTCCTGATAACGGCTGTGGGAATGGGTAGAGTGACTGACAGGGCATCTACATGTAGTTTAGGGTATCATTCGGCTTCTGATACGCAATGAATCGCCCAGTGGGCAAGTGAAATGCATCACCTAGGACGTCAACGGCCATTAGGTTAGCTTGGATAGGGATTCGTAGCCTGAGCAAAGTAAAGATACAACGACTATCTCCCCTCATTCCATCATGAACGATATGAGAAGTGCACTGAGCCGTCCAAGTACAGGGGGGGAGGGGGGGGAGTTGAAGAGAGCAGGCAAGCCGCTCCCAATTGCATGGTGAACCACCCGGTCTCCGAGAGTATGTTCAAGCTCAAGCAAGAAGTGTGACCTCTGCCTCATGGAGAAGCTTTTCACATCCCTGTGCAGATAAGGCCAGTTACCAAGACACTCTCTCAGGTTTACGTGCATGATCCGTTAGACGAAGCTTGCTGCTGGGTTGCCTCAAACAAAGCTGCAATCTCGAGACAGGTACCCAAAGTTAGTTTTGGATCTGATAACAACTTCTTTTTCAACTCGACATTCATAATGCATGACACCACATGGTCTCGGATCATGTCGTCACAAGCGGAACCAAAATTACACAAGCGTTAAGCGGGCCTGGACGCGTAATTTTACAACAAACTGGCTCACCGACTCATTCTTAGCAAAGGTCATCTGGCGCAGCACGTGACGCTCGTATACAGGATGTGGCGCGGCCTTGAAATGTCCATTCAGTTTCCGTAACGTAACCTTGTACTCGTTGTCATCCGCAGGCAGAGCCGACGCCTGTGGATCTTCGAGGTCTTCGAATAAGTCCTGAACCTGTGTTCCGGCAGTATGCAGCAGTAACATTTTCAACCGTTTGTGATCTGTAATCCCTTGGCCTTCAGCCATGTAAGTAAAGCTTCGTAACCATTTCTTCCAACGAGAGGACACTTCTGCTGGCGTGCCCCGGTATTCGAAAACTGGAAGCCTGTGGGCTCCGCTCAGTTTACTACAAACGCTCATCTTCGTCGCCAATTGTTATAACGTACGCACCGCGGCAAGATTCATTCCATGCAACTTGCGAAGACTGATTCATAATGAGGTAAGACATTGTCACTCTTCGTCATGCATGCATCAAAGGAACGTAGAACGACACACATAGTGAACATAGATCGTAGATCGTACGGCAAATATTAATAATAGATCAATCTATAACAGGTCAACAAAGGTGGTGAAAAAATGGTATTATGATTCAATGCCCACCGTTCTTTTTCCCACAGGACATCATTGTAGTGCGCAGAAGAAATTCCTTTCTTATCATGGAACGAAGACATATAATGACGCTGTGCGCTTTTGCTCGAGCCATTACTCCCGCCTATTGAGTGGAGATCTGTGGACTCAATGTTTATTTTATAAACCGGGCCACAGTGAGAGAATGTGGCTCGACCTGCCACACTTTGGTCAAGTCAGTACTGTGCAGTCGGGTAGCAGACCACAATGGAAATCTAAAGGGGAACTCTGTACAACTGTTTGTGAATCGGGTAAGTGAACTATATGTTCTAGAGAATTATCTCAACTACAGTGTGTTCTTCCCTCTACTTTTAGCTCAATAGTAGTCATTATTACTCAACTACTACTCTCTCTCTCTCTCTCTCTCTCTCTTCCTCTTCCTCTCTCTCTCTCTCTCTCTCTCTCTCTCTCTCTCTCTCTCTCTCTCTCTCTCTCTCTCTCTCTCTCTCTCTCTCTCTCTCTATCTCTCTATCTCTCTATCTCTCTCTCTCTCTCTCTCTCTCTCTCTCTCTCTCTCTTCCTCTTCCAGCCAGCACTCCAGTACACTCATTGTTGTGGCGCTTATAATTAATATTTATAGTCATTCAACCAAACAGGCAATGGTGCCTTCTCACAAGGAGACGACTTAGAAGAGGAGAGGGCAGAAAGAGAATGGGGGGGGGGGGGAACACAGGCACGGAGGGGAGATAGAATGGAGAGGATAATGTAATATATGTAGTATAGGATAACCTTTTGCGCCCTGGTGCTAAATCCCCTGATTCCTGCCACCGGCCGCCCTGCCATACGCAATAGTCCCAGTATGCATTTGAAAATTATCTAATTTCACTCACCAGTTTCGTAATTATTTCTTTTTGGTCGCATTGGAAAGCTACAGATGTCCTCTCTCTGAATATCGCCACTAGACACCCGGCAGGAGCAACAGAATCGCCTTCAAGCCTGTTGAGAGCTGCCCTATTGCGCCTGAGCGAGATTCTGTACCCACCTCCACAAATTTTATCGTTTCTCAATTTTTACTCAACGTAGGACGCAGTCTGGGTCCGGGACTCCCTCTCCTTTGACCACTTGAGTGACATCAACTGCCATGGCCATGAGGTCATCTGGCTTCACCTGCACCTGGACAATGGCCAGAAAGTAGTTGTATGTGCAGTGTAACGACCCGGGTCGTGCCCTTGACAAGATGTCTCTCTGCTTGAGTATCTTGACTCAGTCATGGATCAAGCTCGATCCCTCGGGAACAGCGTTGTGATAGCCGGGGATTTATTATGTTCATAATGAAAGCTGGCTGTGCAGCACGACGACTACACCAGTGGTGAATACAGTGGTGAATACGTACACACGCAAGATTCATTCCATGCAACTCGCGTATACCACAGCAGGAAACACCATCTGCTTTGTTCTAGGATAATTTAGAAGTGAACATGTAAAAGGGCAATCATGGAGAGATAAGCAGCAGAGACACGTCAGTGCTGTCGTGGCACTAATGGCGCTATGACACGACAGTATAGGCACTAATGGCGCTATGACACGACAGTATAGGCCTCGTCAGCTCGTACCAAAGTAAGACACACGTCAGCCATGCAGAGGTCATGTAGAAGAAGACTGATTCATAATGAGGTAAAACATTGTCACTCTCCGTCATGCATGCATCAAAGGAACGTAGAACGACACACGTAGAACGACACACGTAGAACGACACACGTAGCAGAACGTAGATCGTAGATCGTACCACAAATATTAATAATAGATCAATCTATAACAATCAAACATTCCCCCGAGTCTAACAAATACAGGTCCTCCATCGAAACGGTTATCTTATAACGAGACTTATCTTGTAGCAGGACTTGCAGCTAAAGGTGACATAGGCGCTACTTCGTACTTACTGGGGCTACCCTCTATACAACATAATTTATCGATGCTTCAACTCGTTATAAGATAATTAAAAATCTCCAACATAACTCTTCCTTGGATACAAAGGATCGTCCATATTCACGAATACATAGATATAATACGTTTCGTCTTTCTGCTTTATCTTACGTGTTTTGGCCTTGGTCCTGCATGGTCAATATTATCTTATACTGAGGGTTTGGCACTCCAGGGACCTGGGCAAAGGGTCGTTATAACGAATTTTATGTACTAACGGATTATGTTGTAACCAGACCTGTAAACAGTTGTATAGACCACGTTTCGCCAGGGGATTTCAGATTTTTATTTACTAACGGCCCTAGTAACGGGGTTTATGTACCAACCGGACTCGTTATAATGAGGGAGGACCTGTACATGGAAGAACTCTATGCGTTCTACGGGCTCCACCAGTACGTTACTCACTGATATCAAATTATGTTGACAGACTCCGCAAGATCAGCTGTCCCGGAGTTAGGGTGTTAGCGCCTTCAATGGTCATTCTGTACCCATGTGCTTAACCCACGGTTTGCCGAGGAACTTGTGACATGCTTCGTAGTGGAGTTCCTCGAAATGGACACTTGCCACCCTGAATGTCTCACCTACATACCTCTTCTGACACAGAGCACACTTCACAATAGTAATTATTAAAGATAATACCGGAGGAATCACACATGCAGCTTGGCGAACAAGACTAGCATGAGATGCAGGGGTTAAGCAGTCTTCCTCAAATTCACTGCTCTCAGCGCCTCTCTTAGTCTTGTATGACATTGCACTTCTTTTGATTCAGTGCTGACTTCACGAGAGCTTCCTTGAGGTTGAGAGTATGTTCATGTACGACATTGACCGGGAACCCCATTAACCCGACTAAATGCTGAATGTCCTTTGAGGGAAAGGATAGTGTTAGTTTAGTTAGTAGTTACTGTTCTAAACACCATCCGGCGCTATTACTCATTCTACTTCCCCATGGCTAGATCTAGCTTCGCTTTGCATTTCTGATTCTTTTTCCTGGTGCGTGTTTGTGGGATTGAAGGGGTCGGTGGATCCCCTGGCACCTCATCATCACTGCTTGTTGGTTGATGTGGCAACTTTACTGATGAAGCTCAACGATGATTGCCTCCAGATAGTCAATGTTTCGCAGCAGATGCTTCGTCATACCGAGACTCTCATGGGCTGGTTCCCATAAGGATCAATTCTTTTGAGCTCGGCACGAAACGACAAAATTATTATAAAAGAAGAAGAGGTTGGTGTGACTTCAGCGATACTTGGGGAATTGTGTGTTGCTCACTACGGGGCAGCTTGCGCTATTCCTGCCGACTTGAATTTTCACTTGACTGACTCACGACTGCCATTCAGAGCAAACGAGACGTCCATCGTACCTTCTACTCGGCAAACCTGCGAGAAAGCACCACTCTTAAAAGAAGACCTTTCAATGCAGTGCATTCGCAGATTGTGCATAGCAACTGAATACAGAGTTTGTCAGTTGATAAACACCATTTTCTTTCACAGTGCAATTGCGAGATATCCACAAATTTCTTAGTGGTTATGTCCTGTTTTCGAAAAAGAGTTAGGTTTAGCGTATAGGTGCAAACCGGGTGCAATAAAACCTAGTTCTATGATTCAGCACACACAGCCGTCATCAATGATGACAGTGATGGACTATTGCTGTGTTTTTGTTGTTGTTGTTTTCTCCCATCTTTCTAAGATGTTGTTTAATGCCGCACTGTTGGAGGCGATGCAGCTTGAATGTGCAAGTAAGTACATGTTGTAGAAGCTTGGCCCTGCTTCTAGCATATCTCAGTAATATCTCATAAATGTACACAACCGACTCTATGTTCACACTCCTGGCTGTACTTCCTACAGCAAACTGTTAACCCTTTGAAGCCCAAGGACAAGTATACTCGTCCCCAGTGATTTCCCAAGGACGAGTTTACTTGCCCCAACGCGCACTGTGTGCGCACTGAGCGTGAATCACTGTTTATATCTTCGTACGTCCGCTGCTATTTCTTTGATTTTCACACACGATAGCTTATTAGAAAGCTGAGGAAAGGACCTTTTCATCAGTGTGTCATTTGTGGCAGTGCGATGCGAAACACCGGAGTGTCTAAGATTGGAACGCGGTTTGCATACTTCTGAACTTGAGAATGTTTTCTTTTTTTAATTTTCAGCAGCACGAAGAACTTTGAATCGACGTTTTCTGTTGAGTAAAAGTTATGAACCGATTCATACGACCTACACATCCACGTGCACCATAATCCTTGCTATGGCGTTTTACCTGTTAACGAGAAAAGCGGAAAATCGTGGGAGAAGAGTGTACGCACGCGGACGTGCCAAAGACACGAAGATCATGGCATGCACAAGTACATGACCACCAGAATGAGTGAAACAACTCTTTGCGCAGCTCTCTTTCATGCTGCTACCGTTTCGGTGTTTTGCAGAGTTGCCCAGTATGATCTGCCTTGTTTGCCTTGCCGTAAATCTGTGGTCTCCAATCATACGGAAAAGAAGTTCCTCTTTTTGAAAAATTCTCAAGTCTGAAGTCATCAGGAAAGCCATTTTCATTCCACCTGCTTGAGTTTTGATCCGCCCATTGAACGCTTTCTGAGAGCGGTATCTGATTAGGTCTTATATCTCAGGGTAGATGATTGAACAGATTCATTGAGCAAAGAAGTGGAGACTCTATGAGGTGGTTGTACGGTAAACCCTATGATACTATCAAGAAGAATTTCAAAGATACAGACATCGTTCTTGGCTGTTGTTTTTGAACAACCATCACGTGCAGAAAAAAACAATTTCGAGTCGAGAAGAACTACCCCAACTACACTAAAGAGTGGGAGGCGCAGCTCGGCAAATTTCGATGCATGGGCTGACTCATTTTTTCCTGCTTTGGTCATCAGAGAGAGAGAGAGGGAGAAAGGGAAAGGGGAGAAAGTGAGAAGGGAACATGGGGAAAGGAGAAGAGAGAAAAAGAGACAGGGAGACAGGGAGAAAGGGAGACAAAGAGGAAGAGAAAAATGAGGGGCAAAGAGTTATTAACAAATTGCTCGTCTCACTCAGCCCGGAACACGTGTTCCAACAAAGTTTATAAGAGTACTTCTCCTGTCTGCACTCAAAAATGGGCCCAGGCACCAGGCATAGGTCATCGAGCAAAAGTGCTTCTGGAAACATTGGCATGGTCGAAAGAACGGGAAAAATTAAAAACTGAAAACTCCTCCACACGAAGGCCCTCCAAGCCGCGGCTGCTTCTGGTACTACTAGACTGGATTCGTAAGTCAGCCCGCCATGCAGTCAAAATAAAAAAAAAGTATTCGTAACAGCACTCACACTCTTCACCAACACACAACATACCATAGCACACACCAACACCCACATACCCATTGTTTCCAGCGCGACAAACACCTTGTGAAGCCGCAAGTAGCAGCGTGAGTCGGAGTCGCTCATGGAGTTGTGCCAAACAGACGTTTGTATAGTTTGTCTCCCTGGTGATGGTTTGGCCTGGAGAGCTTGGAGAGCTTCTTGCCGAACTTGACACTTGACTGACTCACGACTGCCATCCAGGAGCACACCAGGAGCAAATCACTCGGCAAACCCGGCGTCCCTCTAAGTTTGTATCCCTGGTGATGGTGGGCCTGGAGAGCAGTATATAAGTGGTGCTTTTCAGGCACAATCTTCCTCAGCCTACTCAAGGTCAACTGACGAGGGGTGAATTCCCCGAAACGCTGTATATTGAGCAGGGAGTGGTGCTTTCTTGCAGGTTTGCTGAGTGGAAGGTGCGACGTGCTTCTCGTGTGCGACGTGCTCCTCGTGTGCTCCTGGATGGCAGTCGTGAGTCAGTCAAGTGTCAAGGTCGGCAAGAAGCGTGTGTTCCTGGTTGGAACAACCAACTTCATGACTAATACCGCCGAAGTCGCAACTTCTAAGTTCAACAAGCTAATAATAATGTCATCATAATACCAAAAATTCAAAGGGTAGCTCCAAAACATGGCAGTTTTGAAGTCAATTGAACCTCAGAACAAGAACCCTACCCTGCCAATTGCATATTTACAGCGGAAACTGATTCAAAATTCACAAAACAGGGTTTTTTAGTACTTTTTGGACTCAACATCCGTAATGAGTAATCTGTAGCATAACGATTACTTGATTGTTAAGTCATTATCGATCGATTACCCAGTAATTGATATAATCCTTTCAGCCGTTCAAGTTAAAATAGTGTTCCATTGTTCTCGTGGTATTAGTGCGCTCACTCCACTTTCATTGTTATAAGGTTTCTTGTCTCCACGCCGTCCTTTTAAGTCCCTTACAGCTTGGCATTCTACTCATGACTGTACATGTCCCGTGTCTAAGCTCTCTCTCTCTCTCGCTCGCTCGCTCTCTCTCTCTCTCTCTCTCTCTCTCTCTCTTTCTCTCTCTCTCTCTTCCTTTCTCTCTTTATCTCTATCTCTCTCTCTCTCTCTCTCTCTCTCTCTCTCTCTCTCTCTCTTCCCGTGCAGGTAGTTCAGACACATCAAGCATTGGTTGTGAAGCACCTGATTGACTGCACGTATTATCTTTCACCTTTCACCGTTTCAGAACATCACATTTATTCTGCTTTTGCTTAGTTGTAAATCTTTAAATTGCAGAATAACCTTAATTCCGAAAAGGCGACAAGGCGACAACAGTGTAATGAATACAATAAACAGAACCAGCTTCTAGCATAGGCTAGCATAGGTTGTGTTCTAATCATTCGCCATGCCACTGTCAATTGTATTCGGTTTGCCCGTAAAAGTAAGAGGCCTTTTATCTGTTTAGTGCCATCCTTTATCTAATTATATTTCTGTTTTTCTTGCTTGCGTCTTCTAAAATATATTCTTTGATTTGTGCAAATAGTTGCAAAGGAAGTCCTAGAGGATGGCTCCACCCTGTCACGATGAATTGCATTGCACCGGTCCAGAATCTCATATTCACTCCGCATTTGTCAAGTTCAACACACTTCATTTGCAGAAAGAATCTGACTATTCTACTTCGGTCGTCCCTATTTGCATCTTCTTCAGTTTATACTTTGGTTTGTGCAATTTTTTCCTCATTGTTATGGCCAAGAGTAAATAACTACTTTTCGGTATTAAAAAAAGCCATGTGTGAGTAGAATCCGGGCGCGAAGATTGTTTGTTTAGGTCAGAGTGAATAACCTTTGCTGCACGTCATACCGCTTCACACGGTGATTCCACCGTATCACCGAGGTGCGTTTTGTCGCGTATTGCTTGTCATGACGTCACGATGATGGTGATCATGAAAAAGCAGGAGAAACTATTCTCATCGCCATGGCGATACGGCTAATGGCCACGAGCCTATGGTTTAATTGGTGTTGTAGGATTCACATCATAATGACCTAAACAAACAATCAGCGCTGTGTTCGTGATTATACTATGCATGCAGAAAGGGCAGCAGTATGAACCTACAAGTTTTTATAAAAAATGTTTTGGTCCTGTAACGGTCGGCATTCTTTGTTGCCGTGGGACTCAGCTTGTGCACATTTTCACTGCGCTCACCTTCCCCTCATTGGTCCTACCAAAACCTTGAACCTTCCAAGCTGGAAGGTTGTTGGTTTGGGCACTGAAAAGCACCACCTAACCAATCCGGCTTCAGGAAGCAAGACGGCACCGAACTGCAACTCGCACGGATCGTCCACCAGATATTCACAGCCAGGGACGCGGGGAAGCATGTTGTTACGTGTTTCTTCGATCTCAGTAAAGCCTTTGATCGTGTATGGCATCAAGGCTTGCTAAAAAAGTTGAGCCACTACGGTGTCGACCGCAAGGCTCACAAGTGGCTCGAAGCCTACTTGACAGGACGCAGACAGCGGGTGCAGGTTGAAGGCACAACATCCGCCTTCATACCAATACCAGCGGGAGTGCCCCAGGGCTCTGTCCTGGGACCACTTCTGTTCCTGGCGTACACCATTGACATGCCCACTGCCTGTGAAAATGCTACAACCTCGTGTAGCCAGTTCGCGGACGACACCGCACTAATTGCCATTGCAGGCAGCTACATTGGGTGTGAGGCTGCGCTACAAAGAAGCGTTGATGCCGCAGCAGAATGGCTAGAGCGCTGGCACCTGTTGGTCAATAAAACGAAAACCGTCATCCTCCCGTTCTACCATGCTAACCGATCCCCACCACGACTACCCGAAACGAGAGAGCTTGGAAGCTCAGGGCCCTACGCTATTCTTTTTTGCCTTGATGACCTAGGGCGCGTTTGGTTGGTACGAACTAGAACAGGATTCATCAGAACAGCGCGTTTGGTTGGGACTGCACCTGTTCTGGGTCGGCCAGAACATGTTCTGCTTGCTCCGGCCTCGAGGCCGGAGCAGACCGAGCAGTTTCACTTTTTCACAGTGAAACCTGGCGGGAACATCGATTTTGGTCCCAAATGATCACGTGCATACGCTTTTGGGTTGGACTCGTCGTACCGTACACAGTGACCATGGTGACCCATACACATTTTGAAGAATGCACCAAGTTTGGCATACTTTTCACAAAAATATGCTCTGTTTCTGGAGTACCGTTTGGTTGGCATGAGGCTGCTCCATGTGCACCAGCTGCTCGATCCTGTTCTAGATCGTACCAACCAAACGCACCCCTAGACAAAAAAGCATAGAGATGTTATTTATTCTTATATATTTCCTACCGTTTGGCGCTGCATCTGCCGCTAGGGTTTATCGGGTGTTAGCGGCCGTCGTGAGTTCCCTTCGGGAACGGATACGATAATTTACTTACTTTACCTTATAAATTTCTCCTTAAAAAAAAGACATAACCTGGGATTCGAACCCACACTGTCGCCCTGCATGCATCCCCCGATACACTTCGCATACATACTAATTCTTCCAACTTGCTTCACGTTACGATCTTGCATTTGAAAGCCCTATTTGAATATGCATTTTATTATTTTTTTATTATTGAAAAACCACAAACCTTCAGACATGTGAATGTGCACATGATATACAGTGTACATACATATGTATCGAGAAGGCAGCACGGAAACGGCAGTGGTGGTGAGGCCTGGGCAGCTCGTCCGACCGTGGGTCTCGGAGTCAACACTGGGCAGACGCACCGGGGGGGGGGGGGGGGGGGGGGGTGGTAGCTTAGGAAATAAGGGATGGAGCCAGCGTGATCATAGTATGTAATGCATATGCAGAAGTAATAATTATGTTAATCTTAAAAACACTAAACAATAGTGCGGTGGACCTGCGCAGAGGAAAGGCATCATGGACATGATCTACGTGTATAACATTATTATAAGTGAGCTAGGGCACGTCATACACACACACATATACCAATCGACAACACCCTGCCGGCGCTGCGAGAGGTGACTAGGCCTCCGCGGAATATGCCGGCATAATTTCGGGAATTATCGGTGTGATTTTTAAAACGGGAATTATTGGCAATTTTTGTGGAATAATCGGTAAAATTTGAGCAATGCCCCCCTTTTTTCCATTTTAACACCCTGATTTGTACCAAAAAGCTTGTGATCCTGAATGAGTTGATCGCCCGGTATTTCAAAAGAGAAAGAAAAAAAAGCTTCCAGCCGAGTTTCACGCGAACCGTGATTTTTTTGCCCGTACAAGTGGCAAAAAACCCGTTAGGGCCTGGTCAGACTGCGGCAAAAGTGAAATAATCCTGGGATTATAATCCGAATCTCCATAGTAACTTGCCGCCAGAGCGGCAAAAGCGAGAGTTGACGCTCCAAAAAAAAAGCAAGATCGGGCCACGCTTTTCCGCTCCAAACAGGATTTGACGCTGATACGCCATTGACGCTGATAATCACTGATTTTTTCATCTCGATATCGAGGAGCTAATTGGCCACGGACAACAACAAAACTCATAAGGATGGTTGCAAGGATTGCACTGAAGGTGTTGGCGATCCCAAGGTGAAGGAATTTGACGTCGTTCGTGGAGATTACCACTTAACGCTCAAAATGAAGTTTGAATTTTCATTCTCCCCACATGTGTAGTGTGATCGCGATTCAAATTCTGGACGCTGTTCTTTTTTCGTCAGGCAACCAAAAGTTGCCGCAGTCTGACCAGGCCCTAAGCGGTACGGTATCTGCAAAAAAAGGAAGAAAAAAAGCATTATTGTGAGAATTATTGGTGGAATTACGGGAATTATCGGACGTAATTTTGAGCAATGCTCAAAGGAATTATCGGTAAAAATACGAGCATATTCCGCGGAGGCCTAGAGGTGACCCTACACTGGATGGTGCTGACAGCGCTGACAGCGACAGCACGGCATCTGCTGCCCGCTGGCACCCCGCAATGATCAGTGGAGCTCCGCCGCTCCGCTGGCTGGTGACCAATGCATTTGGCCTCACCAACAAGCTGGGAGAGCTGCAGCATGCACTGCTCAACGATAACGTCGACATAGCGGTTATCACAGAAACGAAGTTCTCGGCCCAGACCGTAGCCTCTGAGACAATATTTCCAGGATACTCGCCTCCCATCCGACGTGACCCGCGGGATGCATTTGGTGGCGGCATTGCTGTATGGGTGAAGTCCGGCCTCCCAGTGGTGCACCTCGACCAGATTCCCACGAAGTCCTCTGGCTCGCCATGAGTCTTTCCATGCAACAATCTGTTGTTATCGGTGCCTTGTATCGGCCTGGATCCTGTGCGGACAACGACACCTGTCGGATTGAGTATCTTGGACCTGCACTAGACGTGGCCCGCACTCACGGCACTCACATAGTGCTAGCTGGGGATTTTAATGTCCATCACGAGACTTGGCTCTGCAGCAGCAAACCAACTGTAGCTGGAGAGGCCTTGGAAGAATTGTGTGCTGAGCATCAACTCCACCAGCATGTCTTGCAGCCGACTAGGGGTCTGAACACCCTGGACCTCATCCTCTCCAACATGCCCGTTCCTATCGACACCACTGTCAAAGCGCCACTTGGTCGCTCTGACCATGGGGCTGTTCTTGCCGACTTTTACCTCACCCCTGATGCTGAGCTAGCTACCTCCAGGACTGTCTGGCGCTACAATCAGGCAGACTGGGGGCGCCTGCGGGCCTTCTATCGCACTACAGACTGGTCCACCATTGTGACTGACGACCCTGAAGAGTCCTGCAGGAAGCATCTGCATCTCCAGCGGCATGCAGAAATTTATCCCCGCCAAGCAGCTTGTTACCCGCCCAGCAGACCCCAATTTTTTTTCTTTTTTTGATCTACTTCGGATTTTTTTGTAAAATGTTTGGCACCTATGATCAGGGGATGGCCCACGCCTGGTAAAAAAAGTATGTAAATAATTTAAACACACGGCGAGGAGACAATAATTTGATAACCGCAATCAATAAAACTAGCTGAACAGACATTTGTGTACAGGTACTTTATTCATGCAATGTAAAAACGGTGGAGACGATGTGCAATAAAACGATGAAAATATGAAGAAATGGTGTAGGGAAAAAATATGGATTCAAACAAGTTTTCGTACAACACTCATCAGGAATCGTCGTTGTACTAAAGGACACTGAAACAAAAATTGAACTTGGCCAGAGACGTTCTGTCAATCCGCAACTTCCTCCCGGACCACGGCCTTAAACTCAACGCGGAAAAGACACAGTTCATTATTCCGCCCAAAGTCCAAGGCGGTCCCACCTAATCTCCAATTGTCAATTGACAGCACTAGCATACCGCCTTCAGCCATGATCAAATACCTTGGCCTCCTGTTCGATGAGCATCTTACGTACCGAGATCACATCACGCTCCTGGAACGCAAGATAGGCACTAAATTCGCTGTGTTCAGGAAAATCAAACACAATCTAAAGCGGGATTCACAGAAGCTTTTTTGTGATGCGACCCGCGATGCGACAGGCGCGAAACCGGGAAAACCCCAAATCGCAGCCATGTTGCGGCCCACGCAACTGCCGCAACTGGGCCATCGCAGGCCATCGCGGAAGTTGAGCTTGGCTCAACTTTTGCGATGCGATGCGATGCGACAAGCGATTTGGCGTACGATTTTGACCTTTTCTACAGCAAAGTTGTACAAAGGTTCAAGAGTTGCCTTTAAATTTGTACAAAAAGCAAAAAAAAAAAAATTGTACCTTGGAGGCCTATCTCGCCTCCCGTTTGGTCCCT